ATGCAGGTAGAAGGTTTGTTGACATCTTCGGGGACTAAAGTGTTTTTGGGATCCCCATCACCCGATGCCAAAGTCACATGATGTCTCGATGGGATGTCAAGCGAAACGCCATACCGCCTCCAGTCTCACGTCCAGTCTCACTCAGTGAACCACCTTTTTGTTGTCCATCCCAGACGCTCCAAACAGCTCTTGGTACCTCAAAACCCTAGGGATTTGAGACCCCAGACCCCTCCATATGAGGGCCCATGAGCGTCTGGGATGTTGCTCATTGTTGTCTGGTATGCAAGGACAAGAGGTGTGGTCCCTACACCCCGCGGGGGGTGAGCGAGCTGCCACTCAACCCACACGCCGTGTGCTGCAACGAAACAGAACGAGAACTATATCACTATGAGTCAAGTGGTTCGATCATCCCAAGTAAAGGTTGAACATATATAAAATCATGCTGAAGTAGAGAGAATATGGGAAAATCATCCAAACCATTGGAAAACAGATCATGTTTTTGGATTGGTTCATATATGTTGATATTCTATCCACTTCAGGATGGGTACAAATACAAATAATGATCTGAAACCACCGGGCCAGATTGATTCTCATGAAAAAGAGAGTCAAAGAGAGTCAGAGAGAGAGAGAGAGAGTCCCCCGGAACTCACGCTCCCTTCGCTGCTCAAGCCCTAAGCCTGAATGGACGGGGCCCGTCTCTCGATGCCCCGGACGGGCACCTTTGAGCTGGGTGAGAGCTTCTCTGAGCTGCTGTGAAGCCACCGAGAAGTTGGAGGTCAAGATCATCTGCGGCGGGGGCGGGGTCCAAGCGGAAGTGAAAGCGGAGGAGTTGGTCGATTGGCGGAGAAGTGCTGGTCGTTGGGGAGGGATGAAAACGCTTTTAAAAAAAATTGAGGTTGAGGTTGCTAGTGGTCACATGTGGTCACCTAGATGATTGGTTTGTTGAGGAGCAAACATCACAGACCATTTTGATGGTTTATTGATAGCATTTGATAACCTTTTGAAGTGGAATTGTAGCAACAAAAGCTCGTGGACCCCTCAACACCTCAACGGATCACACCTCCCTCCAAGTCTTCGTCTTCTTGCGGAGGGCGGGATGAATCTGCATGGATGAAGCTAGTCGAAGTAGGATGATGATCCTGCTTCTTCAGACTGATGACTCTCCCAGTCCCTCAGGTCGACATTTTCCTTGGGGAAATCTGTCGTACCGAACCTCGGCACTCTTTGGACCCTGTGCCCATCCTACCTCACATGGGAAGAAACACATCACCGTACCTGACTTGCTACGACTGGATCCCTAGGGTTTGGACCGAAACCGAAACGAACGGAGAGGTCCCTGACGGGTCGGCTCGGCTCCCCGCGTCCGCCGGACAGGTCGAGACGCCCCTCTTGGATCGGTCGTTGCGACTCGTTGCGACCGCTCGTCGTTAAAAAGAACCGGTGGTCCGGTGGTCCGGTGGTCTTCGAAACCATGTATAGCCCAAACACTCCATGTGTGCCATATATGCCTACATTGACCCCCAAAACAATCGGCATCTATGGCGCACATGGTGCGTCTGGGTATTCCCTAGGGCTCCAAGCACCTCATAAAGAAGATGCTTGCGGGTGGATGGCAGGGGGGTCTAACCATCTTCAACAATCCGATTGAATCCTTTCCCGGCGTTGCCCATGAAGTCGTCATGGTAGCTCAAATGTTCCCGACAGCAGAAAGCTTCATGTCCAAGCCACCGGCATGGCAGCTGCAAGCTGAGAACATATTGTTTTGATGTTGGGCGATGGCCACCCATCAATTGATTCGCAGCTCCACTGGCATGTCTGAATAAGAAAGAGCTAGCTGTTAACATCCCCTTCTGAAATACCTCACACGACTTTTACACTGCCGCATGCACTCCTGTATACTCCTGTTGAAGAATGACAGAAAGGAACAAGAAGAACAAGAATAAGAACAACAACAAAACGATCCACCATATTTATGCTATACCCTCTCCGACAAATTGCCGCCGCGCCGGTGGCTGAAAGCACGGCTTGGTTTCGCTGCCAGAGATTATGCTGCTCGCCGTATCAGGGATGCTCGGTGGATGCATCTTCTTTAACGTTGCTGTCTTGTTTGCTGTCAATCCAATCGAAAAAACAGCGGCAAACATGGGGATCACAAAAAATGTGACATTGACCACTGTATGATGATATTCCCTGGGAGTCCAGTCGACTATAAAAAAGAATTGTCTTTCGGGGACCTGAAAGGAAGATTCCTTTACTTCACTATAAGGAAAAGATAAGTAGTTTTTGGACTTCCAGGATATTGTGTATTTTCAAAAAATGGACGTAGTATTAAATAGACATAGTGTGTATAGTATACGTTTATGGTCTTGACATTAAAGCATATGGCTCAAAACCAAACAGTTAAATCTTTTTGCAAGACTTTCTTTCACCCAAACACACTGTGGTCTTAGGTGTAACAGTATCTTTGATTTCATGCAACCTGCTGGACTATCCTTCCTCCGGCTACCCCCTTTCACGACGGATAAACGCAGCCCAAAGTGTTTCGGGAAGACTCCTAGTCGGTCGTGCGGGTGGTACCCCACTCACACGTTGCCCCAACAAATGAGTCAACAACCAATCAGTGAAAGGCACTGAAATCGAGAGGGCGCAATTTGTAATGTATCTTCCCATTTTGATGTAAACCCCTTGAACTTCTGGATTGCCTTCTCTTTGCATCTTCCCGTCTGCATTTGGCGGTGAATTCTCGCACTACGAACGCCGGAAGGCCAACCAAACCTCCGTCGTCCCTCCAAAGGATCGAGTAAAGGAGGAATCGGATCGATCCGGCACCAAGGACATCTAAGACCTCGGCGGCGACGAAGCAGTGGGAAAAGCCGCGAGCTGGCGAAGCGGCTGAGCTCAGGTGCGCGATGAATCGGGTGCGCGATGAATCTGGCAGTTTCTCTGCTTTTGTTCTGCATGAAGGCAAGAGTGGAGGTGGCAGCTCGGAAAGAAGATTTTTGTCTTCTTGTGCATGAAGAAAGAGAGAGAGAGAGAGAGAGCAGTGATAAAAAGATGTAAAATGTAAAACGTAACATGAACGAGAAACACCCCCAAAACATGATGCCTGGAACGAATCCGGTGTGCCAACCTGAATCTATGCCAATCAATCATTATGAATCCATCGGACATATAGGAAAAAACTCTTGGTCTTGACCTGTTCTCAGTTCTCATCAGGAAATATCACCGCTGCCATGGCTCTCGGCTTGGAAATCTGCTACTGTAGAGGATTCCTGGCCCATTGATTTAACGGCCATGCTTCCCGAAAAGCCAGCTGTTTTAAACAAAATAAATAAACTGGGACAAAAACCGGATCCGTTTCTGAACCGCTTCGTCGCCCCCGCTCGTGTGTCACGCGATCTTGGATCTCAGTCGGTGCGAGCGAGCGAGCCGTCTTAGATCGACCCGTCTTGCATCGTTCTTCGCACCCTGCAACTGCGAACGGTTGCACCGTCACATCCCGGAAGCTGATGGCCAATAGACTTCAGATAGACATGCCTAACAGCTACGGCCTACTATATATATATATACATGTATAAAGATCTTATTGGGGCTGCAAATGGTTCTTCGAAACAGAGCAAAGAAAGAGAACAAACGGCTGCACATGTCATATGGGAGTCAGTTCAACAGCCCCAAGGGGTGGGAGTCTACCAGTCCGAAGGACTACATACCGTATATACCACACATTGACCTGATGCGCCAAAAGGTTGTCAAACCAACCCCCTGCGACGGTGCAACCCTGCAACTTCAAGATCATCATGAGATAAGAAATTCAGAGATTCATCTGGCCTGCAGCTGCGGGATCGAAACTTTTTGCTATTTGGCATTTGGTGTGCAAGTGTGTATATCTTAATAGGGTAGATTGGCCTTATTTCCCTTCTTCCAGGGGGTTGAACTGGGAGGTCTCCCTAATTTACCCCCATTGTTTCACATGGTTTCAAACAGAAAAGCATAGCAAAGATCTTGAGCAGTTCTTTTGGAACTGCTTGACAAGCTAATCATAGCGCGTCCGCGCGTTGGTGTTGGTACATGCATGAGCACACCTATGACTCTCCAGATCGGAGAAGCCTAGGTCAACACTGATTCCGCCTTCTTCTTCCCCCAAAACGTTCCGTGACACGTGGGACAGGCCGCGGCCCGAAACCACCATGTCATGCGGCTTCCAAACCATGTCGGGTTTTCCGCACCAAAGCATCTCCCACCAAAGCAGCCAAGTTGTTGAGTGGACCTTCGTTTTTGGTTTCGGACTTGTGGCTGTGGGCAGGAGACCGACCCCTTGATCTACCGACGTCAGGTCGAACTGCCGAAGGGACGGTACCACGCAGTTGTTGTGCAGTTGGTCCACAGTTGTTGAAGGCATGCACGTCCAATCGGCACAATCACCAAGCCACGTCCACCAGTACCAGTTGAAAAGACATGAGAGAAGGGGTGGTTTTTGAGCCCCAGTCGGACCAGAAGAGGACTCTCAGCCCAAATTCAGCCCTTTTGCAAAGGTGGGCTTCCTAACTCGAACTTGACACATTCCGAGACACTGCGCCCTTTCGATTCCTAACTGACTCTTCTTATTCAGTGAGGTGTGCAGAACTCCAATGACAACATCTTTACACGGATGGAAATGGTTTTTGCTGGTTCCCCAGGACCATCCATGACCCGTGAATCCCACCGTTGTCACGGCGGCAGGTCAGCCCCTCTGTGACATCGAAGTGACATCGAAGTGACCATTCCTCCTCCGTTCGCCCGCGCCCCCATCGCCCCGCGCAGAAAAAGGGGCGACCCATCGTGGCCCATCGCCTAACGCATCAGCTCGTCCTGTAAGCTCTTCAGCTCCTGCCCATCGCAGGAAACGGATCGGTCGCGGTGGATCGGTCGCGCGGTTCCATAACCCCCGACCAAAAGCAGGTGGCAGTGGCAGGTCTTAAAAGGTTAAAGGACAAAGATAAAGGTATCTTTGGGATACTTTGGGGCCATCCAAGCAAGTGGTAGAGCTGCTAGGGGACTTTGATGACGAGAAGGTCTCTCTCCGAAGCCCTCAACTCCGGCGGTGCGGACTGCTTTCTGAGATCTGCGGACCGGAAAACATGGAAAACACCTCTTCCCGTGCAGAACCGGGGCTTCAGCCACCAAGACGTCCCGAAGTCGGTCCACAATTGACCGCTCTTGCGCCGCAGATAGCAGCGGTCCATGTCGGAACAGATGAAGATCCGTGGGTCCTGGCAGTCCATATCTTTGGACCAAATAGCCCGACCATCCTTGACATATCATGTCCTGGTTCATACATCACATGACCACATGATCCTATTTTGAGGATCTCACAGTCAGGTAGCTTCATGCACAGCCCAGTCATCAGTTTAATGATGAGTTTTGCTACACCAGGGCTCCAAGTATATCCTGAGAAGGTGTTTGGGGTTGGTTTGAGGGGTCCAAACTAAACACCTTGAGGCAGGTTGAACATCAGCATTCGACAGCACCCTGCTCCGCGATGGAAGAGAGGCAGTTTGGCGCCACACCCACAACCCGCAACAAAATGGCGCAATATATAGTTCACATACCTAGATCTGCCAACTGTGCAACATAAATCCATCCAAAAGGCAAACATGTTGCATAGTTGGAAGATCCACCTCAGAGCCTTTTTGTGACCTCTATTTTGGACCACCAACCACCCAAAATATGGCTTTTTCCTGCCAAAACAGAGGTCATGTTTGGGCTCTAGGTATATCCCACAAACAGATAGAGAAAAGTAGATCCCCCCTAACAGGGTCTTGGAACCCCTTTTTGTTAGCAATCAGTAATCTATTGGGGACCACCAAATCGAAGAAGGTATCACCGCCCATCCACTCGGCCGGGCGCGGCTCTGCCTGACGACTCCAATCCGCCTGAGTGTCTTCGTCATGCAAAGCCGTTGAGGAGCAAAAGGTGCTGGGGGCCCCACAAACCATCGAAGACCTGACTTTTGCCTAATCAACAAAAACATGGGTGTTAGGCTTTATTTGATGACTCTATTCTTCATGGGTTTGAGGGTTACTGGTGGGGATTGTCTCTGGCCAATATGCCAGGGTACAGTCACTCAGTCAGTGAGAAACATGCGGCCCGGCAAGCCATATTGGGAACACATGGGAAAAAAAAGGTAAAATCACCCAATCCCCAGAAGTGAATGTTGCAAAAAGAAGAAAGACACATAAAGACACATGATAACTGATAACACATAAATGACACAAAACGACTTTTCTGGTTGCCTGGTTCATCCTGGCTCCTTGTCCCAGCCTCCGAAACCCTCAAAAACACCTTCAGATACCCCACCTCTCCCAAAAGCCTGGCCGCTACCCCACCATACCGCCGGCTTCACTAGGCCCCAGGGCCATTTGGTGGATGTCTCTCGGTACAAAGCACTTGCAGAACCTGACGGACATCGCTACTGGGACATCCATCTGCCGTGTCTTGAACGACGTAGGCGCTGTGACCTGGGTCTACGTAGGTCTATTTCCATCGACAGACAGCCCTTGTCTGGGTAGGTAGACTCCAGGTAGACTAGTCGATTTCCCTTCTTCCAAGGGGGTCGATTTCCTGTTCTAATACGCGCGCGCATGTATTGATCCACACCTGCCCACAGCCATGCACAGCCTGTTGGACTCATCATGATAAACTCTTCCTTCCCTAGCTGGTTGGGCTTAGGGCAAACAAAGGTCGTCACACCTCTTCTTCTTATTTTTGTTGAGAACACCCTTCACAATCTTCACAAGACTTGTGTCCACTGTCCACCTCTGCTTACTTCGCTCCTAAACCTATCCCACAAGCTATAAGCAAAAGACCCGATCCCCTCGGTATTGAGACCACAGGGCCGTACCATCCCTCGATCATGGAAGCTGAGCATGAACCTCTTCATCCAACAAGGGCCTTCGGGGACCATTGAGTCCCATGTTCTACTTCCACGAGCGATATGGAGAAGCTATATGGGCTACCTATAATTAGGAGCCTTTTTGTGACCTCTATTTTGGACCACCAACCACCCAAAAGGCCGCGAGAGATCGGAACCACCAGCCGGGCAGGTGCGGCTCCGCCGCGCCCGTGGCGACGGTCGGTGAAGGGTTCGAAGCTTCGAAGCCCATCGGTTCGGTCCTTCCTGGAACCCCAGTCCCAACCAGAAAGAAATGGATGGAACTCCCCAGTCCCAACCATGTCCTATGTAATGGATTTCAATTGCCATATTGGAACAACCATTTGTTTCTGGTTGTTTGGTTTGGGGTTCCAGGTTCATCCATGTCCAACACATATCGCTCGTTCGGGACGGCGTTCGGTGCATGGCATGGTTTGTCCGAAACCGCGCCGGTGACGGTGAGCGCGGGATACGGAAGGCGCGTGCTGGCGCGAAAACGCACGTCCTTCCTCTAAGTGGAAGGCATACGCCGGAAAATAGTGGATTTTTGAGCACTACGGAAAGGATAGAAAATATGGCATATTGCCCCTGAGTACCTACATACTCCCTAAAATAAGTGGATGGCATAGGCCCCGGATGGGGAGATGTTTTTTCTCTACGCTGCATGATGGTGAACTCTCTCCAATTCCATTGAATTCCATGATTTCAGGGAGTTTATATTATGAATTCATAAATAAAACCATAAATATATCATATATACCTGGATCTTCCAATAGTGCAAAATGTCTGCCATCTGTAAAACCCCGCCAAAAGGCAGACAAAACAATAAAACTGCTCAGCCTTGTTTCCAGATGCAGGTCAGGTCAGCCTCGTCGTTCCCCTCCAAAAGACGGAGCATGTGCGTTTCCTCCCTTGCTAGCCACGGTGTCTCAACGGTGTCGTCACCACGTGGACGTCGGCCTCAAGGTCCGATCGACGCCCAGGACAGAGAAGCACCTGAGTCGAAGGACGCCGTGTTTTCCTCGAGGGACGACGAGAAGGCTTGGATTGGGTGTTGGAAGGTGGGGAAAAGAAGAGCTTGAAGAGCTTTCCCCAGAAGGAGATTCACGAAATTAGAAGTTACATGAAGTCACCCAATCCGCAAAAACACATCGAAAAAAACATAGCCGAAGAAGAAGAAGAAGAAGAGGGAGAAGGAGAAGAGGACGAAGAAGAGCCAGCTCCCAAAAACTTCGGACCTTTTTAACTACCAAAACGTAGGGCAAAATATAGAGGGGTCGATGTCAAAGGAAAAACCCATTGGTTTCATCTGGGTTTAGGCTATTCCTAAGGGCATAGGTCAGGCCATCTCTGCTTCGGACCCCCGAAGACGTCAACGACCCGTCGTTTCGGATCCCCAAAATCACCGGACCGGGTGACCTGCGATTTGAATGACCATGGGTGCAGTTGAAACAGTCGCTACAGCTGTCGCTAAGAAAGCCCTCTTCTTTGATCAACGCACGGTCTCTATTCCAAATATATGCCAAATATTAGTACAAGATTCATGAGATGTTGGAGTGCATCTTCCAGGATGTTGGCAGTCAAACGATGTGTTTTTTCTTGGCGAAAACATGAACATGCTTGACTCTTTGAGGGGGCTGACTCTGTTGGATTGCAGCTCAAGATCCTTGCAGCTCGAGCGAACTGGAGTTCCCCAGGACCTCCCGCCGCTGAAAACGGTGTCTGTCTGAACTCCCTGCTTTCGCTGCTCTGGTGCGAACAAACACTGGCAGCCTCGCCGGCTCAAAACATACCAATCCGCCAGGCCTTGCTTAGTCCGTTTACAGCAAGGGTTTTTGGTGCATGTCCAGTGGTTGATCTACCTCAGCGGAATTGGGACCCCCAAAAAACACCATCCTGTTGCGAAAGCTCAATGCTTCACAGCAGTTCCTCAATTCTACAAGTCAGGGAGCCTCTTGCTGCTTAAAGCCGTTTTGCGAGGTGATTAGCTCTACAAATCAGCTTCATTAGCTCTACAACTCAGCTTCTCTTGGCTTCCCCATCGCAGAGAAGAACTCCTGCTCCTCTGCCAACTCCCCAGGAGTTGCTCACGCATCGAGTCGACATCTTCCCGCAACGCTGGGCGTCCTCACATGCGCACGTACCACGGCGCCTTTAACCTGGCGCAGCGGGGTACGGGGCGGGCGATTTTCCTGTGCTGGCAGCCCTAGAAACGAGGAGACCAGGGTGACCAGTGACCCCTGGTCTAACGTGATTTAAGTAACCTTCCCAAAAGGGCTCTGCTGAGAGAGGCTGCAGCAATTCGCGAGATCTTGATCCAGAGAACAGCACTGAAGCACTTTCATCCCAAGTATGAGCTTTGTTGGGGTGTTCAGAGAATGACACCCCGTACGTCTGAACACTCGCGTCTGAACGCCCCAACCTATCCTAGCAAGCACTTTCAGGCTACAAAGCAAGCGATCTGAATCTCTGAACAGCCCAACTATCCCAGAAAGAGCTCGAACATGTTCCAAGCAAGGAACTGTTCTTGTGGTATGCGAGATCCTCTCTATGAGAGGTTCTTAGGGAGGTTCTTAGGGTGGAGGTATGAAGACCACATTGCTTGCACAGTCACATTCACTCGACTCGAGTCTTTTGTAACACTTCTGACTCATTCCACCATCCTCCCCAGCTGAACATGGCATGAGCAAGCGTCTCCAGCTTTCCGAAACAGCGTCTCATCACCAGTTCGTTGCGGCAAGAACGCTGTGAGTGGTGAAAACGTGTCTCTCCACGCCTGGCCATGTCTCTCCAACTTGGGGTGCCACAAGCCTCACCCTCCTGAGCAGCCGCATGGTACTGCCCACTGGCCCCATGGAGAGTCATAGCGTCATACCATACCTGTACCAGCATCGATTTCACAGGTCACCAATTGAAACCTGTTAGGGTCTAACAACCCTCCAAAGGAGACCTGTTGGAAGGTGCTGGTATAGATCTTCCAACGGTGGAACATGTCCGGCCTTTTTATCTATAAAACCAGCCAACCAGCCAGAAGGCTTCACATGTTTCATAGTTGGAAGGTAAGGGTATGTCACAATTTGAAGCAATTATTCAGGAAGATGTTTCGGTATAATTACAGTGTGTCCGAGTGTGTCATTGTGTCACATCAAGAAAGAATAGAACAGTTTTCGTTTTGGGAGCACTCTCCAACGAATAAAGATTCATGTGTACGGGTTTCAGCTTGGTCGAACTTCAATGACTGGCCCCAGTCCGTTCAAGAACACCAGCATCTACATTCCTCCAGAGTAGCGTGACATGACACGTTCTGGATCACTAAAGGAATCTTTGGAATCATTGGACCATGGTCATGGTCGGCCCCCTTCGTTGTCACATGAAGAAATTGAACAGGAGCTCCGAGTCAAGGATGAATAGGTCAGCCCTTCCGTGCAGTACGACTTTCTTTTCGCTCCGTCCGAGTGAGGGCGGCGCGCATTTGGCCGCTGTACAGACCACCGGACAAGAGACGTGTCGATAACCCGCAGATTCATCCTTCAGTAGGTGGCTCCTTTCTTTCTCCAGCTGTCAAAGTGTAAAGCAGTGGTCCCCAAGCAGATAGTGGCATGGTTTCCAATACGGATCTACTGTTCTATCTGTTTGGGAGTCTATATATACCAGGGGACCCACAAACCATCGAACCCCTGGTTTTCCCTAGCACAAAACACGGTTTTGATAGGTGAAAGCCTGTTTTTCATGGTTTGGTTCGGGCCCCTGGTAACCTATGAGTGCAAGGGACCTGCGGGACCTGCTGGTTCTCCTGCCTCGACCTGTGTCGGAGAGGCTCCGCATGATTTCACCTGGCCGCTGCGAGCGCATCCGCGGAGAGGTGGGCAGCACCTTCCAACAGGTCTCCGACATGGTAGCTGAAATGGAGACTTGTTGGAGTGGCAGGTGGTGACCTGGCAGGTTTCAGGTGCTGGTATATATATATATATATATCGTATATATACTGGTACTCCTGCTGCTTCGACTGCTGCTACTGCTTCTGCCTATACTATCCCAAGGAATCCTATGAAACACGTGCACCACCGCAGACCATGGAACAACTATGAACAACTGGAACTGCCAATCAGAGTCCACTAAACAAAGGTTGAAGCTCCTTGAGGTCAGAGCTGGGTGTTGTATCATCGCCTGTCGCCCACCAAATGATCCATTCACAAGTCGCTACTAGTAGCTCCTGGCAGTACTACAAATAGCAAATAGCTACTAGGTAGCTTCTTGCTACTAGTAGTCAGTGCCTTGTTACTAGGATGTTGTTTACATGTTTTACCACCCGGCCCCGGGCGCTGGAGATGTGTTAGAAACTATGTCACATGTCCACCAAAAACTACTCACCTACCCCTCGAAATGCCCACCCTCCCACCCTGTTCCAAGACTTAATGACTGGCCATACCCTACTAGTGATAGTCGAACTATATAGGCTCCTTCAAAACCTGCGTTGCTTCCTCCCCCCTTCCTCCGCATCGCCTGCGGTGCGTGGGGCGCGCTCTGCTCCGGCTCGGGCTCCGAGTGCTGCGGCGACTCCGCCATCGGCGACCCGGCGTGCCAGGCGCTGCGCCGCGCCGCCGGCGACTGGCGGAGGCCGCGGGTTGGGAGCGGGAGCAGTTGGTGGGAGAAATTGGGGTGGTGCTTTGGATGAAGGTAATCTGAAGAACTTCTGAAGGAAATGATATAACTACCAGGAGTCACAAGACGGGGTGGTGTTTAGTTGCCAAGTGAGTGGATGTTCTCGGCACCCCGAACCTCCATGGATAGCACCCCGTCTTGTGACTGCTGAATTTGGCGATATATTTGACATATTTGGAGTGTCCCTTCTTTGTGACGACATCCTGAGATGAAAGAAAGTTCAACAAAATACATATGAAATCAATATGAAATAGGGATCCTCCAAGGGGTGTTTGCTGGTGACCAGTTCGGCTCTCCCAAAGAGAACTTGTGGGAGGGTCGGTTCTCTCAAAGACAACTGGTGGGAGGGTCCAGTCGTAGAGAAAGCTTGTTGACACATCTCTCAAAGCCGCTATGGAACCTCACAAAACCATCAACAGTGGCATGGCAGTTTGTGATCCAAGGATGCAAACAGAAACGTGTATGTCAAAAACATGGACCGACAAAAATTGCACATCTTGTTAGGATCACCCTTCGTCATTCACATTGTAGATACATAAAACTAAATGCCACAGAGCTCCCAACAGAAGACCTGGGAGAAATGGGTGCAAATGAAAGGCACCTTTTTTCCACACCAAATCATTCATCGCTCCCCTCTACGAGATGATCCCTTCCCTTTTCACCGGGGCTTTCAACAACTCCACGTCCGGTACGCAAGCATCACGTCGTGGGGCTTCGTGTCGTCCTCGGGACGAAGAGGGGCCGACTTCGCTTCGGCGGTCCCCCGAGGTCCGCGCCTGTGCGTCTAAGAACTCTTGAACCTGAGCGCCGGGGGCCACAGGGGATCGGACTGCTGCGGGTAGTCTGCGGCCAACGACGCGGCCGGACGGCCGGACTGCCGCGACGGCCGCCCAGCCGAAGCCAGGGCCTGACCGCTGACCCGTGGAAGCAACGTTCAGGTCTCAGTACTTAGCTCTATGCACATCCATGCACTACCATCGCCGCCTTAAACGCAATGGGTCTGTATTTCAAGTCCAAAGATCCAGTAAAACCAGGTCTTTTACCTCCTTAAGTCGTGTTTGTGTATGATCATCTCCAGTAAATTGAGGTCATTGCCCTCTATTAGGAACCTGTTTCTGTTTCTCCCTTCACCTGTATTTATCAGACCTGAGCGGAACTTCTGTTTTGGTCCACTCCACTGGTGACCTGTTCCAGGAAGAGCGTGCTGATCCGGATCCTCGACCCGGGGAGACCGGTGAGTCTGTAGCATGAATTCCTTCAGTCCTTTGCTCCGTTCGTAGCTTCTTGTTACTACTAGTAAGGCACTTGTTACGAACGTAGCGATGCACTTGTGCCTAGTAGCGAACCTTGTTCGTAAAGAAGGAAAAAGAGAAGAGACAACGGAGACCGGTCGAGTGGAATCACGCGATTGAGGCCATGGGATGAGGGGCACCTCAAATCCGAAACAACAGCTCCACAGATAGTATACGTTTAGTTATCTATTTCGGGGTGGTGTTATAGCTGTTTCTGGGCCATCGTCCATTCTCAACCTCCCACCAAATCCTCCTCTTTCCTGGAACCCCAAACAACCAGAAAGAAATGGATGTTTCCCCAAACAACCATTTCCTATGTACATAATGGATTTCAATTGCCATATTGGAACAACCATTTGTTTCTGGTTGTTTGGGGTTCCAGGTTCAGCACACCCAATGGCGAGACCTCCAAAAGGCTTCAAACCTCGAACCTCGCGAGACGATCAAAAAGCGCCTCGGCGTCTCGCGCCGGCCTCGGGGCTCTGAAGATGCGTCTGCCAGGCCTCCAACTCCGTGAGCTTCGTCAACCTCCGCGCGGCCACCCGCCCGCCCGGCGGTGCTCGGGGCGGGCCGTGCCGAGCTCTGAGAGGAAAGGGTGCTCGGCGCAGCTCGGTCCGGAGGTGACGGGAGGGGTGTCGCGTTGGAGGTGTGCCTTCACGCACTTCACCTCCCAGGGCCCCACACCCCGAGTTCGGCGAAGGGGCTATAGAAATAGACACCCCGAGATTCGGAGGGGTCCTTGGTACGGAGAGGTGTGGAACGTCCGTCCCTTCTGCCGATCGTTTCGACCCGAATGTCCCCCAAGTCGTCGATCTGGTCGTTTCGACCCAAAAGGGTCGGACGAAGGTGTTGAAACTGAGGAAGATCTAGAAGCTTATGAATTGAATGAGAGGGATGTGTGCATTGAACAAGATGTAGAAAATGCTTGGAAGCATGACAAAACAGGATGCTATAGTTCTTGCTGGAGGCTGGCTGAGCACTCTTCGCAACATGCAAACAACCAGCACTGATCAAAACAACCAACATCCAACCAACCTGCAAGACCCTTCGTTGGTACGGCCTTTGATGGGATGTGGTGTGGGTCACGCGACGTGGCTCTGGAGTGTTCGTTGGGAGCGCCGAAGGGCAATGTAGAAAGCGCTTGTGAGAAGAGGGACATTGAAGGGACAGAAAAAAAAGAACACACACCATACAAAAGCCGCCTTCATTATTGGCGAGAAGAAGAAAAGCTTCTTCGGACATGTCGAAGTCGCACGTCGTGTGAACGAATCAAAGGCTTTTCGTAGGGCGTAGCGGCGTAGCGGCGTGGGCGTGGGCGCCTTCACCAACCGCGCAGCCGGGTGCGGATCTCCAATCGACCGGCCAAGGAAGCTCGACTGGGGCGCCCAAACACGTAGAAGACCCTGGATCTCCAGGCCTTTCGTTTCACCTGGGGTGGACATCGCGATCGGATGATACACCGTTGTCCACCAGGTCGAATAGGTTATCAGAACAGCACCAGAAACTGCCAAGAGAGGTTTTTGCACAGCCCTTGAGCCTTGGTCGCATACCCCAATGCAAGTATGTTCCGTTGTTTCACTAATTACAGGATCCCAGGATACCCCACACCATCAGGTCTCTCAACCCCTCAATACCTCAGGACCCCATTCCTCGACATCCACCCGCCGGCCGTGAGCTTCGGACACCAGGACCCTCCGCGTCGGTCGAGACCCGCGGTCCCCGCGGTGGTCTCTGAAAGAAGCAGATCGATGATCCAAATGCAAGTTGGAACCAAACCCAAACGCGATCCATAGGACTGCCGAGTGGTGGTGCCAGGGGTGGTGCCAGGGGGGGCCCAATGGAGCGAATGTAGGGCCATAGGTCGGCAGGTCCGGGTCGCATCAGGGAAAGGGTTGGCACCTCGCAGAGGTCTCACTCACTGAGCGTCAGCAAATGTTGAATAGTTTAGAGGGCCCATCTGTCTCTAGGAGTTAATCTGTTGGGTCACCTTCTCCAACTTAGGGGCTTGTGGACTGGTCTTTGTCTGGGGATTCACCACCTGCCCTTGAATAGCTTTGCTTTTTTCGGAGAACTTACCATCTCTGCAACCTGAACAGGTTTTGCAGGTCACTTGTCAGGCACCTCAGCGACGAAGCAACATGAAGGGGACAAATCCAAAGAAGCAAAGTGACAAAGGATGATGATATCCACCGATATCCCCATGATCCAACTCCCCTATTTGGCTGGATCAACCGGATGGTGCCATCCCCTCATCGCGATCGCTCCACCTCCTCTCCGCCCTCCCAACATGTCTCCCTCGGTCCGGTCCTGGTCATTTCCCTGGGCGACCCGGACGCCCACATCGACGAGGAAGGCCACCATTTCGTACTTGGAAGCTAAGCCTTCCAACTTCACACGCCCCTGGCGCGCAAACGCGCGAAGACGGCGAACGCGAGGCAGGCGCGAGGCAGGAGAAAAGACCAACGACGGTGACCAGCTGGGTCAAAGAGTTCAGGGTTTAGCGGTGGGTGAAACGCGGAAGTTGAAGAGGTACCTCTTTTTGTTCCGGCGGCCTATCAGATGTGTACCTTGTACACTACCCTGTACCACTCTTTATCGGTCTTAGTCTCAGTTCAGGTCTCTCAACTCCTCTCAAGTCCCGTCGGCCCACCGGGCCCTAGGAACCTGACCTGCCAGGACACCCCTGCCCACCAGGTCCAGGTATATGTGTCATGTGTTAGCACGATTTATCAAAGGTCGATATGAAGAACATATTTACCAGAAATTGAAAGGGCGTCAAAGGCCACCCAACACCAAGGGCGTCAAAGGGCCATCCAAGTTTCCCGTTGCAGTCGACCAGGTCGTCGTCTCGACCGACTTCCTCGGTATGTTCTCTCCGCCTTCGAGGCACTCGACTTCTCGAAGGCCTGCCGCACCTGCCGTGAAAATGGATGGTCAGCTCAGTCCGCTCTGCTGCGGCCTTTTTGGGAAGCCAAAGGTAAGACGGTTACATGTGTAGCGGATGCCTCAACACAGGACTCAACAAGATGTAAACGAGATCAACCAAAGAAATATCAAACGGACTTCCAGGGTCTATACTCCGTATTATGCATTACAGAGGTATGTCCTGTACCACAAAATATTGTGTGGTACAGAGACAGCAGGCGCTGAGCCAAATTAGAGAGTTGATCGATTCTGATGTAAAGCACAAAAAGAGGAGAGCATTGGTCATCATTCGGTCATCCACCCTTCAACACAAGTTATATACATGGCCCTACCCCTCCTGATGACAAGGTTCACCGATTAGTAGAATATGGTCCTCCAAGTACAATCGCAAACACTCCATGGGACTGGCATATTTACCTACATTGGGGTGGTTTGAGAGTATTTGCAGTATTACCATGCATGTCTGGTTTAAGAAGTGCCATGAGATTTGTCTGCAACGCTTGGTACCGGGCAGTAGGGATCTCCAAAACTGTCGGATCATAAAGAAAGGGAAATGTGAGGCGCAGGATCTGTTTCTTGTCACGAGTTAGCTATCCGACATTTCAAAGCAACCAAAAATAGGCCTTCTGCCCGTTTCCTCGGCCTTGCTGGATGTGTTTCAAGTCAAGTGAGTCATTAACAGCCCAACTTGCCCAGCAAGCTCCTCAAAAAAGAACTCAGGGAACCCTCCCCTGTTTGCATCTCCTTCCCCCCCCTCCATTCGCTATCTCCGGCATCTCGGCGCCCCAACGGCACGGTGGAAGGTCTCAAAAGCCACTTGGACCTGCGCTCGGCGCCCTCTGCAACCCCGCGGGGCCGAAGCAGGCAGCCGGTGGCAGCAGCGCAGCATCGACCCGTCCGGTCGGTGGTCCATGTGGGTCCGGCGCACGACTCGCCCACCTCCATGGCTCGGCGGGGTGGGGGGGGTCCGTGGTGGAGAGACGGCACGGCCCCGAACGACTCGCGCGGGGGGAACGAAGTCCGGGTCCGTCGTTCAGGGCAGCTTCGTGACCGAAGTGGATCTCTCGTGGTTGGAGGTCATCGCACCGGTAGAAGCAGGTGAGCTCAGAAACTCCAACGTTCGGTCACGAAGAAGCTAGACCAGACCGCCACATGTGGCACCGTCGGTCACGTCCATAAGGAATAGGCCATCAAAACGGGGCCATCCCTATGACGCAAGGCCATTGCTGTGACCAAAATCTGCGGATTCGACATGTCCTGTGTTTCAACCACTCCCAAACTCTCCATGTATATACCTTGAGTCTCCAATGACCCCTTCAAATTTGCCTTTCCAAGAAAAAGATGTTTTTGAAAGCACTCTTTTTTGCATGTGCCACGAAATGTTCTATTTTTGTTTGTGCCCGGTCAGATTCTCCTTGTAGACAGTGTCCTGAGACCTTTTTTTGGCGTCCAAAACGCGTCTTTTGGCGTCCAAAAAGGCGTCTTTAAGTGTCCGCACCGGACGCGTCCGGATGAAGATTCACTCTGTACCTTTTTTGAGTCCTCATCTGTGTTTTTCGAGCAAAAACACACAAATATTAGACCCAAAACAAAAACGCATAACAAAAGGTCTTTGGAGACTCAAGGTATGGACTATAGAAGACTTACCTACATCCAGGAGTCAAAAAGGGGTGCCTATAGAACATCGACTAGACGGGACTACGCACCACCCAACTCCATGTGACTCTTGGTAGGATATAATTTCCACACATTGGGTTCATGACTCATGTCTATCTCGACTCTGCCAGTCCCCTGGGATGGTCTTGACTGGATGGATGGATGGAAAGGGCGTCGTCCCCAGCCTCATCTGGGTCCCCACCGGCGGCATAGCCCAAGGCCTGACCGGCACGAAGCCGAAGGTGCCCAAGGCGCGAAGCGGCACATGAAGGGTGCTGAGAAGGACTGAGCGGAGGGGCCTCTGAAGAGGTGCTGAAGGAAAAGCTTTTAGAATTCAAAACATGTGAAAAACAGGGAGGTGCAACCGGGTGCAACTCTTACTCTACTCTTACCATCACAGTTCGATGTGTTCATTTGTTGATTTGTACGAAAGTTTGGATCAAGAATCAGGTTCCTTTTCAGGTTGCACATCAAGCCTCAGATCCAATGGCTGGAGACCACCGCCAGGTGGTCAAGTCAAACTTTGTGCCTCATGAATATGTTTTATCAGTTAACCAGTTAACCAGTTTGACCCTAGTTCCTTATGGTTTCCCTTCTGGTTTCCCTTAGTTCCCTTAACCACCTTGTTTATCTTGAAGGGATCTTTGAGTTGACCAGTTAACCTTCTCTTTCTGCCCAAGGGCCTTCTTCACTGGTCTACCAGATCGAACTGGGGTTCCAAGCGACAAAAGCTCCAGTCACACAGCTCCACCAGTGGAGCCACATGTCTTGACGTTCCGTTTTCAAAAAACCAGATGATGATGACATGAAGACGCTTCAACAAAGACTCTGTCTGATACAATATCTCCCTCATCCAGGAGCCTTTGTGGCATGATCAACTGCCCACCAAGTACACGGCCGAGGACGGCGGAATCCGACACGTCCCACCTCTGCTTGATCGCGGCTCTTCAGCAGAAGATCACCCTCAGCGGGGGATGGGGACGTACTTGAAGCGGACTGGGATGGGGGGTGCCTCTACTTATCAGGCTTGGTTTGGGCTAGCTGTCCGGCTTGGGGAACGCTAGCTGCGGAGCGAACCCCGAAGAGCTCCCTGTTTGGACTCCATCTTCGCTCCTGGAAGGCCCTGCCGCTCCCTGATCGACACCATCTGAGAAAGCACGGCCGTCTGAACACAGGGCCGTCCCGGGAGGTTTGGACCCACATGGTGTCCATGCCGTCTTCTTCCAAGTGGCATTCCTTTTTGGATCTGTCTCTGCTATCTGCGAACGCACTTTGCTTGCACTTGCTCCAGCTATGTCATCTGCCTTGCTACCAACAATTCCACTGTAAGAAGCAGAAGACGACACCTTTAAAAACCGTCGACTATGCGAATCGCTCAACTGGTATGACCAAGCTCTCATATAGAGACTCATGTGACAATGTAAGTGAGATCCTGACAAAGCAAACTTTGCACCCCTCCATCAAATTCTAGAATTCTCCTTCTGAGCGACCAGTTTCAAATTTTCCTGGAAAAGTCCTCCGACCAACAGAGATTGAAGAACGCTAGTTCGACTATCCCATAGGTACCCCCAGGTGAGTAGGGTCCTTTCTCAACCAACGTAATCACCTCTCAAGAAGGATGGCCTCTCCATTTTTCTACGGACCCCCAAATAGATAGAAAAAACAAGATGGAACCCACGAACCCGAATGCAAACACGATCGAAAAACTAATATGTCCAAAGGACACTCTTGTAGGACACTCTTGCGGGACACTCTGTAGGACACTCTTGTGGGCCACTCTTGTAGGAAACTCTCGTGGGACACTCTTGTAGGACACTCTTGTGGGACACTCTTATAGGACACTCTTGTGGGACACTCTTGTGGGACACTCTTGTGGGACACTCTTGTGGGACACTCTTGTAGGACACTCTTGTGGGACACTCTTGTGAGACACTCTTGTAGAACACTCTTGTGGGTCACTTGCAGGACACTCTTGTGGGACACTCTTACACGACACTCTTGTAGGACACTCTTGTGGGACACTCTTGTAGGACACTCTTGTCGGAAACTCTTGTGGGACACTCTTGTGGGACACTCTTGTGGGACACTCTTATAGGACACTCTTGTGGGACACTCTTGTAAGACACTCTTGTAGGACACTCCTGTACGACACTCTTGTAGGACACTCTTGTGGGACACTCTGCGGGACACTCTTGTGGGACACTCTTGTGGGACACTCTTCTAGGACACTCTTGTGGGACACTCTTGTAGGACACTCTTGTGGGATACTCCTGTAGGACACTCTTGTGGGGCACTCTTATAGGACACTCTTGTGGGACACTCTTGTGGGACACTCTTGTAGGACACTCTTGTGGGACACTCTTGTGGGACACTCTTGTGGGACACCTTGTGAGACACTCTTGTCGGACACTCTTGTGGGTCACTTGCAGGACACTCTTAGGAAACTCTTGTGGGACACTCTTCTAGGACACTGTTGTGGGACACTCTTGTGGGACACTCTTGTAGGACACTCTTGTGAGACACTCTTGTAGAACACTTGTGTGGGTCACTTGCAGGACACTCTTGTGGGACACTCTTACACGACACTCTTGTAGGACACTCTTGTGGAACACTCTTGTAGGACACTCTTGTAGGAAACTCTTTTGGGACACTCTTGTGGGTCTTGTGGGACACTCTTATAGGACACTCTTGTGGGACACTCTTGTGGCACACTCTTGTAGGACACTCTTGTGGGACACTCTTGTGGGTCACTCTTGTAGGAAACTCTTGTGGGACACTCTTGTAGGACACTCTTGTGTGACACTCTGTGGGACACTCTTGTGGGACACTCTTGTGGGACACTCTTGTAGGACACTCTTGTGGGACACTCTTGTGGGACACTCTTGTGGGACACTCTTGTAGGACACTCTTGTGGGATACTCGTGTAGAACACTCTTAAGGGACACTCTTGTGAGACGCTCTAGTGGGACACTGTTGTGGGACAGTCTTGTACGACACTCTTGTGGGACACTCTTGTAAGACACTCTTGTGGGACACTCTTCTGGGACACTCTTGTAGGACACTCTTGTAGGACACTCTTGTGGGTCACTCTTGTGGGGCACTCTTGTAGGACACTCTTGTGGGACACTCTTCTGGGACACTCTTGTAGGACACTCTTGTAGGACACTCTTGTGGGACAGTCTTGTGGGACACTCTGTGGGACACTCTTGTGGAACTCCTTGTGGGACACTCTTGTAGGATACTCTTGTGGGACAGTCTTGTAGGACACTCTTGTGGGACACTCTTGTGGGACACTCTTGTAGGACACTCTTGTGGGATACTCTTAAGGGACACTCTTTTGAGACACTCTAGTGGGACACTGTTGCGGGACACTCTTGTGGCTCCCCAGATACTCCGCGTACTAAAGTTGTACTACAAGGTCGCCAGTTCTCAGCTTCCAGCTCCCCAGATACTCCACGTACTACAGTTGTACTACAAGGTCGCCAGTTCTCAGCTTCCAGCTCCACCGGACAAATCGCACTCTCGCCTGCATTTCGCGCACTCAACACGCACGATCTCCGCAGAGGGTTGCGCGCGCGTGGGACAAATCGCACTCTCGCCTGCATTTCGCGCACTCGACACGCACGATCTCCGCAGAGGGTTGCGCGCGCATGGGACAAATCGCACTCTCGCCTGCATTTCGCGCACTCGACACGCACGATCTCCGCAGAGGGTTGCGCGCGCATGGGACAAATCGCACTCTCGCATGCATTTGGTGCACTCGACACGCACGATCTCCGCAGAGGGTTGCGCGTCAAATCTCCAAAACGAGCGTTTCGTACGAGACTTCCTCAAAAACTCACCCGTCAAAGTCTGCAAAACGAGCGTTTCGTACGAGACTTCCTCCAAAAGTCAAGCGGAAACACCCATCGGAGCACACACATCACGCAGCCCTGCCAAGCAGTTTCGCGATTCCAGCCCCTCCAAACAACATCCGCTCACATGCCAATCCCAATGGGACAGCGACATTCACCTCTACCACAACTCACAACCTCACGATTCCCTGCGCCTGCCACGAATCTTTCCCCATCCACACGTCTAACGCGCACAAAGTACTGCGCCTGCCACGAAATGTCACCTCCCTCACACCTCGCAACCTCACGATTCCCTGCGCCTGCCACGAGAATTGCACTTCCACGCTTCAAAGCCCCCCCCGAAGTCCTGCGCCTGCCACGAAAAGTGACAATATCATCGCATGTGAGCTTCAACAAAATTTGCATCACACCACACGTTTGGAATGATTTCGACCCGTTCAGAGCACACTCCCATCCATCAAAATCGCCATTTCAGCTGAGACTTGTCACGAAAACAGAGCTTCGATGCCACACCCTGAAACGCAAATCCCAATGGCACGGCCACATCCAACACCCCAAAAACACGACTCTCCAAACGCTAATCCCAATGGAACTGCGCCGTAATCTGCGGATCTCACAAAACGCTGCGCCTGTGCAGCGAAGTGCATCACGTTTCTTGCGCGACATGTCCGTGTCACGCAAATCACAATGGAATAGCGGCGCAAACTGACACGTGACACATCCAGGCAAAGTCACTTGCAAAAGCTGCCCCCAATGGCAGCAAATTTGAGACGCGACGACGACGAGAGACGACGACACGACGCAAGCCACGCGAACACAGCTCCAACCCCCAGACCCCCAACTATAAACGGGAACCCTTCGCTACGCATTCGGGAAAAAGTAGATGATCTCCCCTCACAACCTATTGGAAACCATGTGGACCTCTCCACACCTAACCAGGGGACCTCTCCACACCATACCACCAGACCCACCGCCGCTCAGCTCGCCACCAGCGGCTCTTCAGGTCTTCTGGTCGCCCTGGTCACCGACCGACTCCGCGTTTCCGCGTCGGGCCCTCGCCCTCGCCGACCGTCCTTCAGATCCGGAACCGATCCTTCGGTCCAAGGCCATGTCCAAAAAGATGGCCAAAACCTCCATGTCCAACGCCATAGAAATCATCATGGACATGGTGTTGGACATGATATGAACCTCAAAGATGATTTGCATATTATGAATTCAATCGAACTCCATCTTCCGCATCTCGGTCCCGGCAAAGGGCGCCGGTGCGCCGCCGCCTGCGGGCGCGCTTCTCCCTGACGACCTTCACGTCCGCCTCCACGGCCTCACGGCGCCTGCGCTGCGAACCGACGGAGGGAGCAACGACGGGGGGTCGACCTAGCCAACCCACCCGAAGAAGAACGGAGACCGAAGAAACATCGAGGAGGGCGGACGGAGTACGAGGTCAACGTTAGATGTCGGAGTTCCAGAGACCCTCCAGGGGGTATGATTTGTTGGTTTGGTGTGTGTGTGTGTGTGTGTTCCGTTTGCAATCTAGCTGGTGCGTCCATGTGTCAATTACAAGTACCGAAGCTGTTGACTCTTTTGGGGGGAACATGGTGGACTTGACTTGGAGCTACTGTAAGTCATCTACCTAATCTACCTCCCTCTTCTGCAGCACCTGTGACGCACCCAGCAGGCTGCCACCCGTATTGAAAGAACCACTGACCGTCCCTGCTACAAAATCCCTGCCAGCCGGCACCCAACACCCAAAGCACAGATTCAAAATGAAGAACAAGTTCAAATTGAGAGGCTATATTGGAGTCTATTGGAGGAGTAGAACAAAAGGCGCATGTTTTGCCCACACATGTATGCCATATATGCCTATATACATTGACCCCCTTTCAACCACCCCAACTGATCGGCATCTCTTCCACAACTGATCGGAGTGTTGGGAGTGGAATACCCCTCTCAAATGCGAGGATGTTTCTCTTTCCAACTGGGACTCCCAAACGTGGGCGACGAGATGCTGGGAGGCATCGCCTGCAGACGCGAGCGCGACAGCGTCGCGCGTAACTCGGTGTTCGGATCGTGCGCGCCAGAGGCTGATTCCCTTGCGCGAGCTGAGGGGTGTGGGAGGTAAATCAGATGCGATGGCTACTAACATGGTCTGTTCTTCTGTCTAGTTCACGGAAAATAGTTCTAGTTCACACCTTTTGAACTGACACAATCGCAGAATTACAGTTGACACCAAACAAAAACTGCACCTTTGCTCAAGGAGATTCCCCATGCCGAATCAGCCAAGTCAGTGATGCGCAACACCAACATCACCTGTTATCCGATCCGCAAAAAGCCATCACAACCACAAGAACGAACCTCCTTCCCCATGCAAAAACATCCACCCAGTTCCTCATCCAAACATCTACCCAGTTCCTCAGCGCCGCTGGGCCGGGTGCGCCAGACCTGAGACCACCAACGTCTCACGCCCGAGAGGACCGAGCCTCGAGCCCTTCCTGTGGATGCTCCGGTACCGGTGGGTTCAGCCGCTTGGGTTCCGGTAGCATAGGCCGCTGCAGCACGGGGAGCGCCAGTAAGAGGTCCTGCGGGTCGGAGCGGGTCGAGCTGCGGGATCTGGGGGAGGGTTGGAGGGTTGGAGGGTTGGAAGAGATGGCCTAGGTGTTTCTCCGTTTTGCCCAGCTGGAGAAAGGAGGATGGAAGTGGAATTGGTCATCAGAACTGCAGTGCTGAGGTGAAGATTGTCACTTGGTGCTTCCATGTGGTTCCTTTCTTGATGTGCCAAGAGAGGTTGAGAGACCTGAACTGGGACCCGATATATTATAGTGATATATACATATGTGGCTAGGGCTGTTGCACCTCTCTAGGTGGTCTGTGTTTTTTGCTGGTCGGTGAAGGGGCTGGTGGTGTTGGGGCTGGCCAAGAAGGGTGGCCCGAAGGCCGTTGGTGGTGTTTCTATGTTGAGTAAAACAACATCTGGTACACTCCCTGATGACCATGAAATCCTCTACAAACAGGTGGGTGTCCACTTTCATGATGAATTCAGGTGATTTGATTATTTGTTGAAGAAACCTAAATAATATACAAATATATACCAGCACCCTCCAACAGGTCTCCTCTAAAGGCTTTTGCAGACTTATAAGTCGCAGGTGGTGACCTGTTGGAGGGTATTCACACTCACACATGTATCGTGCTCCCCCAAAGACAACATGCCACGTCCATTCAGCATGTTGCAGGGTCTTTTCACCGTAGACTTCATGGGCACCTTTCTCGTGACCGTGATCGCTTTTTGGACCCGACCGTCCGACCGTACGACCGTCCCCAGGTTGGCCTGTGGGGTTCGAGGGAGCAAACCTTCTCGAAGATAAGCTTCCAGCCAAGATTGACACCTCAGAGCTTCCCCAACCATCCCACGAGTCGCTCGAGCGACGCCCGAACGAAGGGCGCCGAAGCGGGGGTCGGGGCGTCAGCTGTGTGCTCTAGGCGTCCCCGAAGACAACGGTGCGGAGCAACTGGAGCCCTTATAGGGTCCAGGTACCTCTTGAGAGTATTCAGTGAGAATGGTCTTGGGGGTCAAAGAACATCCGATTCGGATGGTCCTGCACCCCTAGAAAAAGGGGATGCCCCCACGGTTCTCTGGGGGGCTCCAAGGAAACGAAGAGGGAGTATGAGAGAGTGTCCCGTCCCATGATCGATTCGAGCAATTCTTCATGGTGGTGATCCACCATGGACCTTTGGTGTTCCCTGGCAGTCCAGTCGACGAAGAGACGGACGAATGGTCTGACGAGTTCGGTGACCCGAGTCAGATCGGAAGATGCGAAAGACTTCAGTCGGTCAAGCCCTGAACCTCCAAGGACTTAGTCGAACTGGACTTAGTCTTTAGTCGAACTGGACCTCCAAGGAAGATGTTTAGGCTGGGGCCATTGGTCTTCAGTCAGTCTTTAGTCTTCAGTCAGTCGAACTGGACTGAAGAGTCGGGTAAACAAGGTCCCTATAGGTCGTGGGCTGGGGCCAGCCAGGTGACACCTGCCAGGTGATCAACCATGGACCTTTGGTGTTTGAAGGTGTTTGCAGATGTGGACATCCCGGTCTGCTGAGACTTGGTGGTTTCCTCAGAAACCAGCAACCACGCGGCCCCCTTTGCATCTGTGTCTCAACTTGCAAAAGAAAAAAAGCGTTCTGTTTTGGAGTTGAAGCACCTGGATTCTAGATGGAACTCAGTCTGCTTCTTCCTTCTTCTCACACCCGCGGCACGCTTGGCGGCACTCTTGTTGGCACAACACGATGATGATGAACTCCTACACACGGCCCTGAGCTGCAAAACAATTGGACAGGAAGTATTTGCCTTGGCTCCAAAAGCACCATATGGATCCGTATGGATCCATAGAGGTCTTGATCAAATCCACCAGCCATGACAGCCAGCCATGCCGAGCAAGCTGGGCTCGAGGCGTTGCAGAAGTGGGGCAGGTCGGCAGGGCACCACTCAAGGCACCTGGTAATACCACGTGCTGTACTAGTCTGGCTCCTGATCAAAACGTTGCTTGAAGCCATCTTCAGTATACGACATGGCTTTTGCTAGCTTGTGTGTCTCATTCCTCTCCAAAAGGACGCGCAAGCGGGAGGACAAGCGCTGATAGCTGTACGAAAAGATCTGAGGAAATCGGCTGATCATGTCCTCGACGTCGGATGCTTCCATGGCCGCTGCAAGCAAAGCGTACTTGGGCTTAAGGTTTTGCTCGATACTCAAACCAAGGATTTGAGGAAGTGTGGCTATTGCCTTCACAACTTGCTCCTTGCTGAGCCCGATGGCCAAAAGCCATTGAACTGTCGGCTTCAAGTTCTGCTCGATGTTGCAAGAAAGGATTTGAGGGCAAATTACTATTACCTTCACAACTTGATCCTGGCTAAGCCCAAAATTCAGCAGCCACTGAGTTTTTGGCTTTAGGTTCTGCTCGCTTCTGCAGCTAAGGATTTGAGGATGCCTTGCTACTGCCTTCGCAACTTGAGCGTTGCTTAGTCCCATGTTGAATAGCCACTGTACTCTTGGCACCAAGTTCTGATCGATACTCAAACTAAGAATTTGCGGAACATGTGCAATGACCTTCCCAACTTGAGCCTTGGTCAGCCCCATGTTTAAGAGCCACTGAAGTGTTGGGTTCATCTTGTCCTCAACACTGTAGTCAAGGAGACCAGGACGTTTGACTGTGGCCTTCACAATTTGAGCCTTGCTGAGCCCAATGTCGAGCAGCCATTGCATCACGGGTTGCACCTCCCTTTCGATGGATTTTCCAGTCAAAGACGCACGTTTTTCAATGAGTTTGATATCTTTCGGACTGAACCCTTGATGTTCCAAATACTGTGAGATCTCCTCTGTGGTGTTGCCATCTGTCAAGGCTATAGCTCTTTGTAGGAACTTCTCTGCCTTTCCTGACAGCTTCATAGACCTTCTCTTTGCGTGACGGCCTAGACGCTTTGCTACTTGAGGGGACAGAACCTCCTCAAGTCCTCGTAGCGCCTGCGTCAGCATATCCCTCAGCGTGGCATCCAGGGATGAACTGTTGCGTGAATGCCACGGACAAGCCCTGATTTGAAGAATGTGATCCTTCAGTGGACCGCTGTGGGTGTGGCTGATGCGAAGGACACATGACCCTGGAGGCCCAAAAGCTAACAAGGCTTTATTCTTCATCTGCTTGCTGGTCTGGTCCTCCCTTTTCGCATGGCCCAAACCACCATCATATTCCACAAAGAGGGCAGCATTTGGATCTTTGAGCACTCCATAGGCCACCAGATCTGGCTCTAGAGAGTTTTCGCCCCCTCCTTTGGCAGATGGAAAGCTCCGGAAGAGCTCCCAAACGGGTGTCTCTGGCATCAAAAGCACCGCTAGCTGCGACAACACCTTCGCACGCGCAACACCTCCGCTGTCCACACGTGTCCGCGGCCATCCACGTTGCCACCACGCCGGTGGAACCGAGGTGGGCCGCAACTGCAGCGGGGCTGCTGCAGCAAGCAGAATGAACACCAACGCCAACACCAACGGCCATCGCCAACGACCACGCGTCTTTAGCACACTGAGCATGCAGGTGGGGAAGATCGTGTTCGTTTCGCGACGAGCTGAAATTGCGGGAAGTGTAGGACATTGTAGGACTGATCTACCAGGAGCAATGTGTCTTCCATGAATCATACACTCCTACACTCTGATACCATACAAACGAGTTTACATAGTACTGGTTCCTTGCAATGAGGAATCCCTGAATCAATACACATCAACATCAACACATTCCCAAGAACATCCTAATAGAATACCCCAACCAACATGTGCCAACCAGCTGATAAAGGAATGGAAGTGTTCTTTGTAAAACCCCTTCACATGTCGCAAGTTGGTTGCTGTCAGTGCAGGCATTGACAACGCTCTTTCCCATGACCATATTTGAACAGAAAAGGAGAACAGTTAAAGTTAAAAGCCTCTGCAGATATCTTCCCCCCCTGAGGTCTATTAATAACCCCGAAAAGAGGTGATGATTCGGGATGTAACAATAACTCACCATCAACTCGCATCACTGACTCCCGCGCCACCGTGCGGATCGGTCCAAGGCGCTGCAAGAGCACGTTCAAGGAGCAGGCGGTCTGGCGACGGTACCTCCATCAGGACATGGACATGGAGGACATGGAGGACGTGGAGGTCTGACGTGAACAATCACCCAAGTAGTTGAAAATAACAATGTCTGAGAAAGAAAATAAGAGCCAGTCTTGATGGTTGCTCATTTTGCTCTGCTATCTCTTCCTAAAACGACCCCGGCTTGATTTCTGGGAGGCACCAGAACGTTAACCTAGCTCCAAATGAGTGTGAGGCGCATGTGAGTGTGGTTTTTGGTGCAAAGGACCCTAGGCAGCATGACATTGAGAAAAGGAGAGCTATGCCATGCATGTCCACCAAGAGTTCCCGTTTCCTATAGCGCTAGGGTCCACCAAAGCAAGCTCTTTCCCTTTTCCCTCACTGACACTTGGACCCTGAGACTCTCAACCAAGAACTTCTACGTGGACTATGTGGACACCCCCTTTCCACGGAGTGAGAACCACGACCACAGCAGGTGAACAAATGAGCCATCTGGACTTTGAGGGAGATCGATCTATCTTACTCTTCCAGCACCACCCAAAACTGGGTGGTTATTAGATGGAAAATAGATCGTCACAAAGGTTCTATAAACCACCCCAACTGGGTGCTGCTTCAAATTCCACTTTAGATCTGCTCAGCTCCACTCCAAACACGGTGGAGGGTGACCTTAGACTCAGCTCTTTGCTACACCCGGGCTCCCGCACTGGCGCTTCTGCTGGTGCAGGTCCAGGATGAACGTCAAGATTCGTCCCTGCAGTCGTGCGACTAAGGACCAAGGATGCAAGGTCAAGCTACCAAGGTCTACCAAGAGTCACAAAAGGGTGCTTTTTAGTCCCATCCAGTGAGTGGATGTTCTGGGCACCCCTATCCTCCAAGCTCGGCACCCCGTCTTGTGACTGCAGGTAAGGGTAGTCCGGGTTCTTCACTCCCAACCACAGGTACGTGCAGGCAATTAATGGCTGATCACCAAGCACGCGTCGTCGCTCTGAACAGCGCGCGTCGCGGGGGGATGCGTGTTCATGCTAACGCCCTTGCGATCTGTTTTGGCCTGAATCTCTGAACCTGAAGCTGTTTGGCTCCCGGTGGCCCACCATGTGTTTGAAAGGTTTGAATCCCGAAGCACCGAAGCTGTTTTACTAAGGATTTGATACGAGAAACACCAGATCATCCATGTTTGAAATGGTCTTGGACTTTTTGCCCGTGCCTTGCAAGGCAGGGCGTGCCTTGCAAGGCACGAACCCTCCGGTCCAGAAATCCCCCGCTCCCTCGGCAGATGTCCGTGTCCATGTCCGGCTCCGCCTTGGGTTCTAAGGCTCCCAGGAGTGGCTCGGCCTTTTCCCGCCGAAGCAGCGCCTCCTCGGGACTGTCCGGACGTCCCCGAGCTGTGTGGACAGCAGGGCAAGGGCAAGCTGGATGCTCGATTGAATCCGTACGCGGAGGAAGAGTCGTTGGTGGAAGAAGTCCAAGTCGCTTCAAGAACACAGGAACTCTTCCAATAGAAGGTCGGAAACCGCACAACGACCAAAGACTATAGCCCTATCTGCAAATGTGTTCCCCTAAAATAGGGGATCGTTCATGAACTTAATCGACGAATCCCTATTCGGTCCATCGACTGCAGGTGCACATGCAGTGAAGGTACCCTTTCATGTTCCCAACCGGGTTGTTTCCATCGCCTGGGGCCTTGCTGCCTCCTTTCCTCGCTCGTCCAGCTCATCCGAAGAACGGTGACCGTGTTGCGTATACTCTTACTTGGGAGGCTCGGCAGGCTCTGCAGACCTCACCTCGAGAGGTGTCCAGTCATGTCTACTCCATGGGACTGGCATATTGACAATATATTGACCAATCAGTTGGGGGCGGTTGCTTTCAGGGATCAATGTATACATTCCAGTCCACCAGTCGTGCCTAGGTCGTTCACAGACCTGTGCCGAGGGTTTTGTACCATCTTTCACCTCTACTTCAAGCCAAGAATCCGCTCGGCTCAGTGCCGACAGGAAAGGTCTGGCGATCAGAGTCCGACGGACGTGTGGATGGAGGGTGGGGGCAGTCCAAGCAAGTCCAAGCAAGAGGTTGAAGAACCCTATAGCTCGACTATCCCAGTTGGGTACCCCAGGTGAGTAGTGTCCTTTTTCAAGTCACTGTCCACCTCTCTTGATACATCCCAGTGTTTGGTCTCAGACGGCCGCGTCAGCGTGTCTTGGTGATTCCGGGATGTCCAAGACCCGGTCGACCACACGGATGTCCGACCAAACGGTCAAGGGACTGGAAGAGTGACATGGATGGGTCATGGGGCAATGGGGTCCTCAGGGATGGTCATGGGACATTAAAAAGTAGGACGACGCTCCGTTCACCGCCCGACTGGGCCCCGGAAGAAAGAACCTGACCCGACCCCTCCCAGAGGATTCGGGTCCAGGGTCGCGTCTGGGTATCAGTCATGTTGTCAGGGAGTCAACTTACAGTTCTCGCAGCAGCTGAGCTCTGAGCCTCAGCTGTCGGTTTTTTGAAGGATCTTTGGGGCACTCAAGGGAAACATCAAGCCTGTTGAAGGGAACAAAAGGAAATGAAATATCAAATGATACAACACGTACGTATAGTGTATATATATATATGCTTGAATAAAATCCATGAACAGCTTTCACCGAACGCCACCATCCCAAAAGCGGCCAGCAAAAACCGCCACCTTTCGCCCGCGCGGGCCCGCGATGTTGCCTGAACTTTTCCAGCATCTGGTCGTACATCGTCTGCTGAGTGAGATCCGTGATGCCTCAGGAGATGATCGTTCGGGTTAGATCATATGGGTACGGTACGACCACTGCTGAAAAGCAAACAAAAATGATGCAATGTCTGGTAGCAAGCAGGTGGATGGTCAAGAAATGTTCGGAATTGGGTTAAAGAATTAGTACTAAGGCTTGATGCTTGTAGTGCTAAGTCAACTAAAATACAAGTGTGTAGAATATGCATCCACCTAAATGAGGATGCTATAAGTGAGTACTGTAGTTGAGTAGGTCAAGCGACTGAAGTCATGCTTGAAAGCACTGTATGGCCCAGAGCCCAGGAGAGTTCTCCTCCGTGGAATATAGACACTAATATACGCTTGAGCCATTGGTCACCTGATCCTGAACCTTGCACCACAGTCGAACCTCTACTTGGGTTTTGGAAAAGACTGTTTGACCAGCCTCCCTCTCAAAAGGAAGCAGTGCGAAGCAACAGGTCTCAGGTAGCGTCTCTCATGCAATCGCAACTTGCCACACCTGACTTGGGAAAAACAACAGTATCAGGTGCTGCTGAAATATAATGTGGTGATTTGTGATGTGCGCTTTGTGATGTGGTGGGCCTAGACTTCGCTAGAAACTTCTACCTTGTGAGACTTTTGAACATGAGTATAATATCTGTTCATTGCATAGCCCCACGGAACTTCTGATGTAGAAATTGTCGGACTGGCAACGAGTGATCTTGATACACGTGGCGATCCGTGGCCTGATCACACCGGACATTCCCCGAGTTCATTGCAGTGAGCAACACGCACAGAGAAAAAAACTACTCTAGAATCCGGGCCCTCAAACACATAGAGGACACCCTAAGGTGAGTGTCTTTCTTCACACCCTAAGAATCCAACGGGTCCCTGTCCCTGCCAAGAGGTCGGGCCCGATTCTTAGGGTATGAAGAACGACACAACACCCACTCCAACGGGTCATGTCTGGACTCTCTCAACCCCATTCAGAGTCCGAATCCTTCGGATTCCGGTCCTTTTCAGAGATCCCTTCATGTCGCTTCATGTCCAGGCCCGAACCAAACCATGAAAAACCAAGGTCACCTACCAAAACCGTGTCTTTTGCTAGGGGAAAAACCAGGTTTTTTGGTTGATTGGTGGGCCCCCTGGTGAGTGGAAGATCCATTTAAGATCCGAAAGCCGCTGCTTTTCACTGCCTGCTGACACTCTGACACTGAAACTCTGGGCTTCCCCCGACACCTCTGCAGCAACTCTCGCGTCTCTTCCAGATCCTTCTGTGCCCTCGGACCCGGTTTTGAACTCACCAGACCGACGGGTGGATGGATGGACATCGACGGGTGGATGCCTCCGGGTGTGAAGCTTTTGGTTCGGGTCTAAAGCCCTGTGCTTTTCGCATGGTCAAAACATCTCAAAACCCTTCAGAAGGCAAGGGGTCGGGCCCGATGATGATTTTGGGGCTTGAAAGAATCATATAGGAAGTGAAGTGAGCCCCGGCGGTTCGGTGTTCGACATGGTCCTCCACAGTCGGGGAACCATGCCATCCACGGATGGCAAAATGATTTCTAGGGAGAATAGCATGCGCAGTTCACATAACTCAAGCAACCCAATGTGCGTAGATTCCGCGGCGTACCTCAAAGTTGTGGTTGATTCCCAGTGAGAACAAGTCATGGAAATCCATCAATACCAACAGAGGCTGAAGAACCCCATAGACTATCCCAGTTCGGTACCCCACTAGGGTCCTAGTTCAGGTCACTTGGTATGGCATAGGTCGTGAGTCGTGACCCACCTGGAGCACTAGTCGACACTGGGTAGGTCAATTGGTTGGTCTCCTGACCAACAGCCAGTCTTAGGACTCTCACTTCTGAGGCATACCCTTCTCCCTAGAAGATCCCAGAAGTCCAAAAACTATGTAAATACGAACAGGACCCTCCTGTTGGGGTGTCTATTTATAGCCCCATAGCTGTTAAGGGGTGTCCATTCACCACCGGTTGGAAGGTCCTGGTATATAATACATGTTTGTTGACCGACTGAAGTAAGGGACATTCCTAGACTCATTTCACCTAATAGATAGACCATTCGTTTTATAGTCGACGACCGGACTCCCAGAAATCACTCGCTTCCATCATGACAGGCGAACCCAACAAGCCGTCCGAACGCGCGCGGAACGCGCCATCGATGCGTCGGTGACAGGAGTCCGTCCGAGGTAAGCTGGATCGACACCCAACACACTCACTAAAAGCATCCCCAATGCCGAACAAACACACTCACAAACACCAGCCCGAACCAATCAAATACGGTCCAAAAACACCAAACTTGCCACTTGATCTGTCCATGTCCAGTTTACTCGATCTGCATGGCGTTGGTAGAACCCCCGGGTCCTATCGCCGATCGCCGTTTGATGTGTGTGTCCCCCTTCGTTCTTCACCTCCAGTCGTACCTCCTCAGAAGGTATGTAGACCCTCCTAGCACCCCCCGTCCCACCTTCTCAGAATACTTGGAGGCGCAGGGTTCGTTCTCCACCGATCTTCCGATCACTTCGGGTGCCCACCGAGCCGCTTCTCCGCATCCACCGGTGGAACCATCGAGCTCCGCCGCAGCTCCCGCGCGGGCGCCAGCAGCGCCTGCAAGACGGCCAAGGCGGGGCTTCGCGGGGGAGAAAGAAGCCCGGTGGGGCCCCAGTGTTTGTGTAAATCACCGATTCTGAACCCAAAGAGTACTTGCATGATATCAGAACCGTAGCTCTTTCAGCCCGTTTCGGCCCGTTTTGGCGGCGGCGTGGAGGTCGGAGCGCTGCGGGGAGATCGGTGCCATGCCCGCGCCTCCTGTGAGAGCTGTTGGACACTGGAGGTGCTCTGCCGCCGCTTTGGCGGTTCCGGGCGTTCGAAGCATCTGCGTGGCCGGTGCGCGCGCGCTCTGGCGTGCTGGGTGGGCAAGGAAGAAGGGGACCGATCTTGGAGAATCGACAATTCCGCAGGAGGATTGACATGGATTGACTCGGGCAAATATGAAAGTACAAATCACCCCGATCCGCAAAGCCAAGGATCTGATGTGAAGGTGTATTGAAGAGAAAGAACAGATCAAAGCTTCTTTATAGGTGGCGTGGTGACTTGTTGCTTCAATACACGCAGTTGAGTTGCTGATACTAACGAAGCATGTTAAATTTAACAAAATTAGGGAGCAGCATGGTTCACTTGAGCTGACCCGAGCGTCTAGGAATTGTCTTTTGACCTTTCCCTACAGGTCAATGACCTCACTTTATCGGAGTTGGTCATACAAAAACACTACTCAAGGAGATTCAAGGAGGCAAACAAAAAAACGTTTTACTAAGTCTTTGGACTTGGCTTTGGGAGCCATGTTCACCGTGGCTTCCAAAAATGCCGCTCGAGCTGCTGTCTCGCAGCACTCTCAGTCTCGCGCCTCACGAATCCGCGCGGACGGTCTGGTGTCCGATATCCAGAGGTGCAGTCCCAGCCTCAGTGAAGCCAGTTCCGTCCTGAATCCAGTGGATGCACGCGACTATGCACTTCACCCCCCCCTCAAGACGGGTCGGCTGGGCTTAGAATCGAAGATTCTTCATCAACTTCTGGTTCTTTTTTGGGGGGTATTGCCTGTCTTCAGACCAAACACTGACTCACTTCCAGTTGAGGAATGGTCCACGGGATGTTGAATGGTTTTTAAATCCAAGATTCGGCACCCAGACATAGCATTCCTGGCTCTTTCATTCATCACGCACAGATTTTGCTGGGCCACCACACGTTGAACGATCTGCGAAGGGCCTGAGGCGCCGCTGCGATCGTCCAAAGGATCACATTACACGCCGCTGCGAAGCTTGGGATCGTGACGAATGAACTCCCTTTTCACGGAAAAAGCTTCGGCGGGATTCAGGCACTGAGGGATGATTCTGCAAAAAATAAAGTGAAAAAAACATGGAACACCGATTCATGCACTGTCATTATTGTACAATTCGAAAAGAGCTCCAGTCGTACCTTCTTAGAAGGTGGGACTGGGACGGATTAGAGGGTCCAGTCACTGGTCCAGTCATACCCTTCTGAGGAGGTACGACTGGAGCCCTATACCAGGACCCTCCAACAGGTCACCACCTGCGACTTTTAAGTCTACAAAAGCCTCCATGTCGGAGACCTGTAGAGTCGGGTGCTGGTAGGGATTGATTGATATATCTCTTTCGATCTGCTCTCGTGTTCACCCGACGTTTCTGTCACTCGTCCGTCGCCTGAGCCCACGGGGCTCGCCGCGCCGCTGGTGGGCGCCGACGGTCGCGTCGTAAGCCTTGGGTCTGGTCGCCACCGACCGGGTCGCGGTGCGTGCAAAACCACGAGAAAGCGGCGGAAGTGGCGGGTGTTGTTCGTTGGAAGGGAGAAGAGAGGCTTGAGCACTTGGTCTCGAATTTTGGATGAATTTGGGGGGAGGATCTTGACATGTTTTCGCAGTGGATCGTCCTTCAGGATCCTCCAAGGGCACTGAAATCAGGGCGAGACACTGATGTGGGGAGGGCTTCAGTGGCTTCAGTGACTGGAAATCTCCAAGGTCACTCTGATAAACCAGGCAGAGACCAATTTGGTGGATCCCCGCTTTTCGTTCCCCCAGGCAGAGGTTTCCCATGAAAGACCTTGCTTTGGCACATTGGTCCTATATAAAGGAACCAAACAGTGTGAGGGGGATGCAGCACTTGAGTGTGATCCCAATGATGCAGCACTCCACGTCCAAGCCATGCTTTTCGCCTCCACCTGGACCTGCAATGGATCCATAGCCTGACTGAGTCTGTCACCCTGGCGTGCTTTCGGTGCTGAAGCTGCTGATGTTCCTGTGCGCTGCGGAGCTGAGATCTGGAGCTGATCAGCATGTGAGCATCGTATTCTGGAACAACAAGTTACTGACATGATGGGCCGAAAGTAGGTTTGTTATTTGTTGATATAAGTACGAACATCATTCGCCTAGTACTGCAGGTTCCGAATGCCTTTTGACCTCTGCAATGTAACTCGTACATGTTCCCATAGAATTACAGCATAAAGTGCATTCACCAAGGTGTGAGGATGTCAAACCTATTCTTCTTCTACCAGGACCATCCAATGGATGTCCAATAGACTACCCTACCCTACTTACAGGCCTCCATTCGGCACCCATCGGAACTGCCCAGACGCTCCTGCACCCTCATATGGAGGGGTCGGACCCTCATATGGAGGGGTCTGGGGTCAAAAACCCTATGGTTTTGAGGGACCAAGGGCTGTTTGGAGCGTCTGGGTGCTAGCTCTAAAGCTGTTTGTTTCAAGACTCCAAGTGTCCACCGTCCCGCGACGCTGCGTCCGATCTCTCTCCTCCGCCCTCCCCCCGCTGCCGCCAGACGGCCGGACGGGGGGAGACGGTCTGCCGCCCCCAACAAGACGACCAACAGAGGTTGAAGGACCCAAACTAGCCTATCAGTTCGGTACCCCAGTACAGTAATGTCCGAACCTTCAGGTCACTGTCCACCTCTCGACGCGAGAAAGGGGCTCGACCCTCCCCCGGAGGACCTCGAAAAATCGGTGAGAGAATCTTGACACTCGTGCCTTGGCGGTCGAGACGTCCCGTCCCGTCCCGTCCCGTCGACACGACACGACACGGCAACGACGACGCCTGAGAGCGATGGTTTCGGTGGGGGGAAGATCGAGACCATGGAAGAGAAGTATCATAGCCCCTGGGAGTCGGTCAAACTATAAAGAAGAATGGTCAAAGACGAACGGGGAGACCTGATTTCGGGCCACTTCCTGAACACTTCAGCCGGTCAAAATATAGTCCAACTGGACTTCTATAGGGATAGTGTTCATTCACTCAGCGACCGGGGGGTCGTTGGGTTTGACTATGCGCATAGTATAGTATTCATCCTCTCTCCGCACTTCTATGATCTATACACTATACCAGCACCCTCCAACAGCCCAGAAACCACCTGTTGGTGTCCCAAAACAGCCTGGCCAGGAGGGTCCTGGTATAGGGTTCTCTTCTCACTGAGTTTGGGCCAACATGGCATCAACCACTCAGGCCACACCACACCTCCTTGTGCGTTCTTGGGCAGATCGCAAATACAGATTGTGCTGAATTGACAATCAATTCCGGGATCTTCCAACGGTGTCACATTTCTGCCTGTTCATCCATATGAATCAGCCAAAAGGCAGAAATTTTGCATAGTTATGGATAGTTGGAAGATCCAGGTATGTTTCTTTAAAGCCAACATGCCAATATGGTTTGTACCATGTGAAGGAATCCGAGCTGAGCACGAGCTCGGTGGTCTGGCCACGGCGGTTGTTGTTGCATCGGTTGCCATGGGAACAGTTGTGACGCAGGATGCCATGGTTTCTCATCATTTTCACCCCCCAAAACTAAAACCTGTTAGAGCTTAACAACCCTCCATTTCGGAGACCTGTAGAGTCGGGTGCTGGTATGGAAGACTCTGATGGACTGTCCCTTAAACCAAGTGAATACACACTTTCTCAGCAGGAAGGCTCTGGGTGCCCTCAGCAGGTCGGGGGCCATCTGGCTCCTCCCAACAACCCCACAAAAATGGATCCAAATGGTCATGGGAAACCCTGACCCTGACCTGTAGTCAAATCTTTGACATTGTGATTTTTTTGCTGTCAAACTGCTTGCTCCGGGAACATCTTCGCACCCATCTCGATGCTTCTTCTGTGGCTATACGGACATGCCCCGCCCACAATAATCATACTACCAGCACCCTCCAACAGGTCTCCGACATGGTGGCTTTTGGAGACTCAAAAGTCGCAGGTGTTAACCTGTTGGAGGGTCCTGCGGCTAGGCTTAACATGCCCCACTGGCCACAAAACGTGCCCGCGCCCCCCGTTCCCTGGAGTCGCTCCTCTTCTGCACCTACACACCCAAACCACCCAAACCGATGGCACAACCGCCATCAACCGCCCATGAACACAAACACCCAGCGGCCAAATTGGATGGCCCGAACAACCTTCAGGGTAAAAAATACCAACCAACCTTGGTTTTGCTCCGCAGCTGCTGGTTTTTCTGGCGATTCCGTACCTCTCTATACCACTCGCTCGTCCGAGCCGTCTTCCGTCCCCGTCCGGCCACGTCGGACGGCACCCAGCGGCCAATCGTCGGATTCTTCCAACTCGCAAAAGCGGGGCAGCAGTGGAGCCTGAGGCGTGCGGCGAGGTGAGGTGCGGCACAGAGGTGCGGCCGTTCTTTTTGGGGGAGCGTGAAAGGGGGGGGGGGGGGTGATGTGCGGAGGTGGAGGTGAGGGGTGAGGGGGTTGGGTGCTGAGAGAGGAAGTTGGGTGAACACGGAATCCGCAGTTTTTGAAATGGGGTCAAGGCCTCAACAGGTGGGATCTGCGTTGAAGGACGCGCACTGAGGCTCGAGAGGCTCGAGATGGCCTCAAAAATGCTCAAGCCAAGTGCGAAAGGCCCAAGGCTGGTTCTGTGCTCAGATGTTGTGGGGGGGTGGCGAGCCAGTGGACTAGTGGGACGGGGGACGAGCCAGAGGACTAGTGGTTGAGCCAGTGGACTGACCGATCTAGGCTTTTGAAGCAATCAATCCCTATCCCAGGCACGGCACATGGGACTGCCATATGTGCCGATCAGTTGGAGTGGTTTTGGGAGTCAATGTAAGCATATATGGCATGCATGGAGTGTCTGGCTATAGGTCTTGAGGGAGCGGAAGGGCCGGGTGTGGAGCTCAAAACTCACGTCCTGGGAGAGACAGGTAGGGCCAGGGTTCTCAGGCTGCAGCCAAAGACGTTTCAGAACATCTCTGGATCGTCCAGCTCTGCCAAGCTTGGCCGGTTTTTTGTTTAATGGATGAAAAGGCAGATATGTGTCACGGTGTTTTATGATGTAATACTGTCTGGGGTGTCCACCCAATCGAGAGGTTTGTGGTCTATGGTGGAATCCATAATAGAGCTGACCAGATGTTTGTGGTTTCAAGAATTCCCCCAGTCTTGGGAAGGCTCCAAGCAACGTCCTTCGGCCTTGAAGTGCCATCCTCTTTGCTCTTCAGCTTCTGCGTTGATTGAGTACATGAAGTGTTGTGATCCCTCCTAAATCACTGTATCTTGGGAAATATCCTAATAGCTGTAACAGTGGATGATGATGGTTAGTAAAGGCCTTGTCCAAAAATAGTGATACTGTAATTGTTTACTATATCATCTTCGACCAGTGACTGCTCCACTTCAGAACGGAAGCCGTCCAGCCGTCCTGACTCTAGGCGGTCGTGCCCACGACGAAGTACGAACTCTGGCCATGGATCCCTTGCGCTCTCTTCGACTCGGACCTGCATCCACCTCCCAACCCCAGCTGGACAAGTCGGACACCTCGAACGATCCACCGAACGATCCAACGTCACACACGTCTCCAGTTCAAAAGGCTCGCGGGGATTACCCTACATTCGATCTGACTCTATCTTGTCAGCGTCCATTTCCATCACCCCTTGAATGGTCTTGGCATCTAGTAGGCCGTCGCTTCGCAACGGCTAGACAAAAGGAGCCATAGATAGCCACCGTCCAGTGGATCGCAGGCAAACCACCACACATAAGGAACCAGGGCCCTCGTTCGGTCTATGGTTTTAGTATATTTTAGTCTTTGGAACCACTGGTTACCATCCATAGTCTAACAGTTCCAAACCACCTAACTGTTCCCACCTTGATCAGCTGGTTGTTTTCTATGATTTCCTCCTTTTAAAGCACAAACATATGTTCACCGTCTGAACGCCCCTTCGCGGATGTCCCACGGCTCGTTTCACCCACCCATCCACCCACGCACCACCAAGGCACTCTTGGAGGTCCAGAGGGCGGTGTCCCCGGCAGCGGCATGAGACGTGGAAACCGGGAGTGGTCGAAAGTTCCCGCCACAACCCGGTCGACGGGGCCGGTGCACAACTCACGCTGCACAACTCAAGGTCTAGAGAGATGTTGGGTGTCTGGGGACGAGTGTTGAACCAGTGTTTCTCTATAGTCTATCTGCGGTTTCTTTGAGCATTTGGGGCTCAAAGAAGTCTGCAGAGTCTGGTCTCATTCCGCCGTGATTTGCCGCTGTGTCTCTTGCAGCATGTTTCATCGACGGGCCGAACTCCAGGCTCTTCGATCCACCCGTGTGCTGGCCTCTTCAGGCACAAGCCTTGATCATATCTGATGGGCCGTCCGCGTCGTCCAGCTCCGAAAACGATAGCTCCGTTGAGCCGAATCGAAGAATCCCCCGCAAGCACCGCAGAAGGTTCTCCGCAGACGCCCTACGGCGAGTTCGCCGGAACTCGCCGGAACTCGCCAGCCGCCGAGGGGCGGCCGTGAGTCCACCAGGTGGGGCGGTTGCAGTTCGAGGGTGGCCGATCTGTTTAACCTTCATCTAGGGCTCCAACCACTTCCTGAGAAGGTGGTTGGGGTGGGTGCCAGGGGGGTCTAACCACCGAACCTGAGGATATGGGCCAGGAGCCCTAGGGTGATCCAACCAGAAGCTGCGTGGGGATCAATCAGCCTCCGTTTTCGGGGTGTCCTGGCTGGACTACCCCACACCACCGGCCTAGGCTTCCAGACAGGGCACCCCGACAGGAGGAGGGTCCTGGTACCATCTGAACATTAAACAAATACATCTGAAAACCACCCAGCAAGAAGATTGAGAAAAAGACATGGCTAAAGGACTCTCCTGTCTGGGTGTCCTGGCTGGACTACCCTGCACAGCAAGGACACCGAGACAGGATGAAGTTGTTCCCCTTTCGCCCACGGTCTTCGGGGCATCGTCAGGCCCTCGACCGGATGGATTTGAGAATTCGTTCCAGAGACTTGGCTAAGCTCCAAATAGGGAGACCTCCCAGGCGTTCCAACCTGGAAGAAGGGAAATCGACCCAAATGACTTGGTTGGGGGAGTCTCCAATGAATTGCTTGCGGTGTCTCCTTATTACAACAATCCACTTGAGAGGACCAGTTCCGCCGCTTTTCCACCGCGCGTTTTCGGGGCTCCACGGAGGGGTCCTCGGAGCGCGTTCCACAGGTCCGACTCACAGAGGACCCGGTGATGTTGGGCCCAAGTACCAGGCAGGTTTTTTCCTCTACCCTGGGCATGAAGGAGTCGGTCTGGGGTCTCAAATCTGGGTCTCAAATCCGTATTTTGACGGACCAAGGGCTGTGAACGGAGCGTATGGGCAGCAACCATGGGTAGGTTTATATAGTCTGTGACTCAGTTGTCTAGGTGGTCTTCTTCTGGGAATTTGTTGGGTGACATTGATTTGGCAAGCCCTTGTTGGCTGGATGGCGAATGCTGTGCTAGATGAAGACCGGCATAGGACATGTCACTATTCTTTTAACTATCATCGAACGAGCAAGCATCTACCAGTCTACCACGACCAGAACCACCAGAAGCACCTAGAACCCATTTGACCCCTGTTTTGATATTTTAAAAAATAAATAAAACATGGTTTGGCTCCAAAACAGGAGTCAATCAGGTTCTAGGCACCTTATTCATCCTTATTCTGCTTTTGAGTCACAGTTGAAATTGTCACAAACTCTGCATATAATATCTCCATCAGTTCACCACCAGAAAAGCAACTGAATGACTGCGGGGGAGTTTCTAGATCCCAAACGCTACATGTACGGAAAAATATATTGAGCCACATGCAAATGGTCTGACGAAAATCAACAAACCCATGATTGGATGAAACATGATGAAACCTGTGCATACAAAATCATTCGATATGTCTGCGGTTGTCTCATATGGAAGCTCCCTAGGAGTCCAACCCCCATACTTGATAGGCTTTGGCCAAACAACCATTGTGTAAGGATCTTACACTACAAAACCAGGTCAACCTTTCTTTTGCATGGTCTTACGGAAGGCCAAAGGGTAACCGGTATATAGCTAATCAATCACATTGACCCCTGATATCAACCATAGTACCTTCAATGGATGACCGGTCAATGGACCGGTCAATAGAACATGGGACTTGCCAGTCCCATGTCGCGCCAGACTCGACACCCACACCTTCCGACCCGCAGGACCTGCGACTCGACAGAGCCGTCGGACCTTCTCCTTCGCTTCCCGCTCGACTCGGAGCGTCGCACCTGCAGGAGTCGCTCTCGGACTTGGCCACACCAGGCTTTCCACATCGCCTGGGCGTCGGTCGTCTCCGAGTGACCAAAGGGGGGGTCGAAGCCGGACGGAAGGAGGAGCGATTCGGATCCAGTTGGAGAGTCGAAGGGTGGTGTCGAAAAGAGGTGATGAAAGGGATGTGACATTCACCAGCATCACCAGCAATCGGGGGCCCTTTAACAGGGATTCTTTCTTGGGACCAAGTATCTCAACGTGACTCTTCTTAGATTCGGAATTCCTCGTCTATACCATGCCAACAAAATTTGCGATGTCCCAATCTCTGAAGGCAAAACATGAAGCGCGCCGCTCTCGGCGGCTCTCTGCCGCATCTTCACCACCAACTTCACCGCTCTCTTCACCGCTCTTTCACCCATCATAGCACACTAAGGATCCGCACCCTCAAAAACAAGGGTTTTGAGGGTACAAACCCTTGTTATAGAGGGTTCAACCCCTATATCCAGGAGGCTCCAAGGATCCTTAGGGCAGGAGAAAACTCCTGCACTCCCGCCCCATGCACTCCTTCCACCCCGTTCCGGCACGTTGGGTCGGTCCCACCACCGATCCGTGCCTCGTGGATGCACCGCGTGCTGCTGCTCACCAGGAGCCTCACAGCACGTCCGCTCTCGTAGGCGTCTGGACCGATCTCCTCGGGGTCGGGTAGTACAAAACCAATGCAGAACATGTCTGAAGCAGCACCCGACTCTACAGGTCTCCCACATACATGGTGGCTTTTGCAGACTTAAAAGTGGCAGGTGGTGACCTGGCAGTGAGGGTGCTGGAATATGAAACATGATCGCTTTGCCCAACGCGCACAGCTCTGCGATACGACTTTCTAAGAGGATGATATACGACTTAAGCCTATACTGCTTGTAGCAGGCCTGTAGGTCCGCGCGCGGCGTCCGTCCATGGGACTGCAGTACTCATCCAGCAACTTCAACTGGCGACGCGGAGTGAGTTCGAGTCCATTTGGAGGTTTGGTTGTATGGTGCTTCAAGACTTTTCAGGGTGGGAACATGCATTGGATGGGCAAATTTCAATTGGAAGAACATGGAAAAAAACACACACACAAAGTCGTAGTTGTTGAACCTGATTCCAGCTTCGCACAATTCCATGTTCGGTGTGTTCCTACGCAGATGTGGCCCTTCAGTACTTCCTTCACACAACCCATCACCTTCAGAGCTTACTGGCCTCGGGTTGCACGTCGAGTTCACCCCCCAAGGCCACTGCTGCACAGGTGCGCAGCAGCAAATCCTCAGAGAAGTTCTCCTGAATCCAAAAGCCTTGGACAAGAAAGCGCAGTCTGCATACTGCCTTCCAGAATCTCTTCCAGAATCAAGGTCAGAGTGGGAGCGACGAGCTGATATCACTGCTACATTGATCTTTGTTGATGGTCTTCTCTTAAATGGACTGACAGTAGATGGCACAATCCACTTCATCACTCCAAACATTGCCCCCCAAGTCTCCCGGCTGATGTCATGGCTTCTCACCGTGGGAAAGGCTGACTGAACACCTGGGCCTGGTGTAAAAACGGAGAAGAAAGCAAATCCTATTGCTGAAGTCGTGTACCACCATTAACCATCAAAATCGCAAATCCAGTTGCAGGCGTTGATTCTCTTGCTCGGCCTAGTCGAGCGAAGCGGTGGGTGAGGCTGCCGGTGACGTTGAAGCTCCGCTCCTCAGGCAGAAGCTTAGCCAAGGCGTCCGGCGGTGACATCAACCACTGGACTTGTTGCATGAGATGAGTATGTACCAGGCTCATCCAATGGGTGTCCAATAGACTACCTTACCCTACTTACAGGTCTCCATTGGGCACCCGTTGGAAGTGCTAGGTATATGATTTGAAGGGTGAGAATTCCATCAAAACCTGGTACCAGGACCCTGTCGGGGTGTCTATTTATAGCCCCAACTAGTTGTGAAAAAGGAGTGTCCATTAAGGGGTGGTTGAGAGTCCTGGTAGGACTGGTAGGTTTTGGTCTATACCTGGACCCTCGAAAGTACTCTAGAAAATGGAACATGGCCCTATAAAAACAGGTACTTGTACCTATTTTCTGAGGTACTTTGAGGCTTCAGGTATTTATATATTCCTTCTTCCTGGGGATCGAGCTGGGAGGTCTCCCTATATGTCCCACGAACTAGACCGATGGTTCATCGGACCTCGTCAAGTCTGAACTTCCCCATGCATGGTATTACTAACTATAGACCATGACAAACCAAGATCATCCCCCAAATGCACCCCAAAACGCCCCCCCAAATGCCTCGACCACGCCGCTGTTGGGGAAAACCGCTGTTCGGGGTTTGGCTCCTGGTAGACCTCCTTGGTCTGGTCTCTTAATCCTCGACCTCGGAAGCCTCAAACAATCACCGGGGCAACGCGTCTGCCGGCGTCTGGTGGGTCTACCAGTGGGGCGGCAAAGCAGCACTGCAAAGCAGCACAGGCATCATACTCATACAGCATCCACCTTCTGAGCACTGTAAAAAACAACAAAAAAACGGATGTTCTTCTGCTTGGCAGATCTGGGCAGATTTGGCAGATCTTGGCAGATGGCAAGTTCACTGGCTGAAAGAAGGTCATCATCAGAGTGGCTCGCCCTGTCTTCTCATGCTAAACTTCTCAGGAAGCGAGAATGGTCCGCCACAGGGACCAGGCCACGCAAACACGCGAACAAGCTTCGTCGAGACAAATCGACCAAACTATAAAGATGAGACGAAGAATCGACTTTGGCAAAAAAGAAAGAAACAACAAACCCAGGTGCAGGTCTGACATTTGGAATGTGTGAATGAGTTTCAGTGTACTACGTATAGTCCACGCACTGTATCGTGTAACCGTGTACTACAATATACATGTGATCCACACCCATCTCTCTCTCTCTCTCTCTCTCTCTCCAGCGCCAAAAATGGGCTGCTGTGCGCTGTTCAAGTGGCCGGTGCTCTCATAGCCCATCGCCAGCAACTCCTCCATGGGGCACTCGGACACACCGACCAGCAGGAGCCCAGCCTTTCGCACGCAACGCAACCCGAAACAGCCAACCTGGATTGCAAGCCGGTGAGATGACCGGTGGCCCTAGGATTTCTGGCCCACCATTTGATGTAACTCCAATCCCGCACCACACAGTTGTAGAAAAAAGCTTGAACACATTGACCAACAAAGCAGGGTTGACATCCCATGTTCTAACTGGCCTTGGATGATTTTGGAAGCCTAGGGTACAGGCTCCAATAAAAGAGAAGAATAGTCACCAAGCCAGCGGCAAAAAGAGCCTGTGGTCGGTCTTGGCCGGTACATGGTACCCTCTGCTTCCGATCCGAACGGGGAGAATGGGGGGCTCCCGACCTGCTTCCGGCCCGTCCCAGGCGCAAGGTGGCCCTCCGATTTTCCATCCTGGAAGAAGGAAGAATAGACCAGTCTACCCCTTTGGTTGGTCTCCCTATTTCAAAAATTGCACACCTCTCTTTCCATGGTGAATCCCAAAAACCGGCATGGATCCACATGGAACGCCACAGGCGCCACAGGTGCTTTTTTCCGAAATTGGGGGACCATGTGGTCACCGCCGTTGCCAGGCCACCCAAGAGGGACTGGCCACAACGTGGATGTTTGTTGAGCTATCTTGAGCTATTGATCTGTTCCGAAGGCACTCCTGGCCCCGTTCCAAAGAAGAAGACCGTAGCACAGCCTGCGTTCCAGGATCTGGTCTACGTTCCTTTCAAACACAACTGCAAGCGCTGGCCACCGCACTGCCTTTGGTTAAATAGGACCCTCCCATCTGGTCGAATCTGTTAACCTTAGAAATCAATCCACCATTCCCAGACACTCCATATATGCCGATCAGTTGGGGTGGTGCCAGAGGGGTCAATGGGGCGGCATATATGGCAGTCCCATGTGTCGTGTCTGGGATTGATTCAATAGCCTTTCACGGAACACTCATGATTTTACGATTCGACACGACAAACCCAGATCAACTGTTGAAATGGTCGAACGGGCGGAACCCAGGGTTGATATCGTTAGGGTTGAAAGGTCCCAGACTGGGAAAAGGACTGACCGGTGCGATGAGTGCATGGAATGAGGGAACATCAACGCCCACAAGGGATTTGTCAGGATCTATAGCCACTCTCATTGCACGCATCGCACCAGTCAGATTGAGAGTTGATCTTGAAAGGAAAAACCGGAATCCGAAGAACCCCAAAAATCTCTGACAGCTTTGATTCAATGTTCCCTACCCAACATGATTCAAGCCAACTTCCTCTCATCTTCCTATCCAAATTCCTCGGCCTCGAGGCCCATCTCTTGGGCCTGCCAGGTATCTTTGGGACGCCTCTTGGCGCTCGCGCTCTTCCGCTGCCCGTGCCCGTGGGTGCCGAGAGAGTGGTGGAGAGAGGACCCGAACAGTCGTGGGTCCTAAACACGAGCCATGGGACTGCCATAGATGCACTACTAGATGCACTCCATGTGACCTCCAAAACCAACCACCCCTGGCCGTTTCTAGGCAGTCCGTCCTGGCAGTCCCATGTGTCGTGTCTGGGTGTGGGAGAGGGGAGGGCCAATTGGCCTGTGAACAAACCTCTCTCGTTGCGAGCTAGATACGTCTATCAGTTAACTGTTTTCGTAGTAGTACTTATACGTGTAGCTTACTTAACTATACACCAGCCCTCAGTGGGTTTATTCTAAAACCAGGATCCAAAGACGTCCAAAGTCAATGTGTCTCAGTCGGACATCGGATTGGTAAGAGTTGAACTGAGGATTTCCTGTGACAAGTCTTGTTTTTTCAGCCTCAAGGGATGCATACATGGCCAGCTTCCCCAAGAAGATGAAGCTAATGTAGACTCTTGATTAATAAACCCTTCCGACCCTTCCTTTTGAATTAATATGGGGTTATTCATCAAGAGTCTACATTACCTCATTTCAGGTACCAGGAAGTCAAGAAAAGGATAGAAAAGGACTTTTCACCAGTCGTCACAGAGCTCGGAGTGGTGTGGGTCCCAGGGGAGAAGATTAATCACTTCCTCCAAGTTCGGCCTCGAAGAAAACCTGTATTCCATCGTTTTCCCGTCTTTAAAGAGTGACCAGTAGCTGCTGGTGCTTTGAAACGGTTGCTTGGCATCCAAGAAAATCTCGGAGCATCTCGGGTTGCTGGGCAAGCTGTGTGAGATGCAAGTCAACACGCACACACACAGAGACACACCAAAAAGCACGGTTTCATAACTGTGGGTGTACAGGCCCAAACTCAATCAAACTCATACTGACTCATACCGGTATGAAAGTGTTAGCATTTGTGTGGTTGAAAGTACGGATACTTCATGATCACCTCCGTCCTACGGAAGCGTCAAGGATCGGTCCTATAGGACTTTGGCGCCTTTGAGTGGCTTCCGCGGGACTTCCTCCTTGGCCCTGCAGTAGTGAAATCAGCACCTGAAGCGAATGGACAGCAACCAGTGGGGAGTCATAGGGTCCAATTGCCCCTGATCATTGACCTGGTGACCGAGGCCAGGCGAAAGCTTCACATCCTTTCGGACAACAAATTTGGTGTGAACATTGAACAAAACACATTCAAGTTGGATCAAAGGGTAGGAGCTTGTATACAGCCCAGACGCTCCGTTCACAGCCCGACTGGGTTCCTCAAAGCCGGTTTTGACCCCAGACCCCTCCAAAGGATTCGGGTCCGACCCCTGCAAAGGATTCGGCTCCCGGGTCGCGTCTGGGAGGATGTGCTTTCATCCTTCAAACCTCCGACGATCCGATCCGATCGATCGGCAAAACCGCCTGCGACCCCAGGCGCTTGGCCGTCCTCGGTCAAGAGGCGGGAGGCCTCTTGAAGGCTCTGCCGTAGTAGCTGACGGTTCAGGTGGATCTGCACCGGTCGCGCGATTTCGCCACGCGGGCGAGCGATTTCGCCGCGGCCAACGGTCCGAGCGTTAAAGAAAAGCTGCAGTCTACTAAGACAGGGTGCCGGTGTAGCTATAGACCTACCAGCACTGGTTGAGGACTGGTCAAGGCAGCAAAACATGTGTGAAATTCTTGCAGACTCAGTAGAGCCATACTCCTGGAGAACAAAGAGCCGTGAGAAGTGAGAAGCCAGGTTTCTACGTCATTGTTCGCCGTCTCCAGTGAGCCTCCATCAAGTCTCTCCGCTGCTGAAAACAACAATAGTCTTAGTTTTCTCAGCTTCTTCGTAAGGGCGTCCGAGCCTTGTTCCGCTCAGGATGCTGTGGAAACTGGAAGATGACCCGCTCAAAAGGTTTCTCTTTGACCTCCTGCAGCTGTGAGGCACAGAAGATCCGTGGCACAGAAGTGAAACATCTTGGACAAAGGCACAAAACAGTGCCAAAGCTCCGTGTTGCTTTACTCCACCATCATAGATGAACAACTATCGAAGTCCATAAGCGTTTGGGTCCGGAACTCCATGGCTCACCATGCAGTCTGATCCAAAGAGGCCTCCAAAGCCCCCCCCCGCCGAAGTCCACAACCCTCCCAACTCGGGACGAAACACCTCCCAGCTCGTCCAGTCTCTTCATGTGGGTTTAGGGTTTAGGGACGAAGCACCTCCCAGGTGGGGTCCAACTTCTGCCACTTTGACCGGCCACCTGCCGTCTGCCGCACCCACAGTCTCGCACCCATACGGTCTACTGCCGACCCCAGTCGATGCCCAAGTCTTCCTCTGGCAAGGTCGAGAGATCAGTGGCATCCACACCGAAGATCACTTGGACGCCTTGGTGTGGTGAATGCGCAGAGGGCATCAGGCGTAGGGCGGTTCGTGTTGATGTGTTTCTCTTTTGTTCCCTGACGTCTGACGTCTAGACGTTTCAGCACGGTCTCGGCGAATCCCATAATCAGCAAATCCCAGACGTTTCAGCACGGTCTTGGACGTTCAGACGTGTGCTGAGTTTGGTGTTCCTTTTTGCCATGCTAGGAATCGTGGGTCCAACATCTCTCCAAGAAAACCTTTTTGATGGGCGCGAAAGATGGTGCTGCGAAGTGGATGTAGAATATTATCAAGTAGAATATCGATGGATGAATGATTGAACATCCTCAAATCGAATCTCTCAGAATGAAAGGAAGGAGAGAATAAAGGTGCAAAAAGAGACGTTGTCTGAGAGGTTGAAGACGTCTAAAAGGGTCTAAACACAAAAGAAGACAAGAAACAAACGACAAATAAAACACCTCCAAACCACCCGCCTGCATCTCGCAGCATTTGGGTACGCGCTTGGCTCCCCTGGCAGGAAAACAAAATGACCTGAGTGGTGCTTTTGGATCAGCATAGTATACATCCTGAGATATCTACGATGGTGCCAACAATAACTGTCGAACTAGACTTCTAGACTTAGGGCTTCAAAGACCTCCGTTTCGAAGATCTTTGGGAACTTTAGAGGGATCAGGTATGATTCAGATTGACGAGTCGGAGTTCCTCGCAGCCGTTTGGCCTTCAGATGATCCTGCCTGCTCAAATCTTCTTCCTCACCCCCCACCAAAACTCAACCACAAGAACCACCAAAACCACCACCTCGTCCGAAAGCCTCCCACCAAGCAGCCACCAAGTCCACCATCGACCGCCTGGAAGCGCTCGCGGTGCTCGTCTTCCGTCTCGAAGGTCGAGGCGATCCTCGGACCGCTGCGAAGAGTTCGGACCCCTCGGCCAGGCCGCATCGTGTGGGAAGGGTAGAGCTATAATCGAATCACGTGATGAGACAACACAGATCGGCAGGACATACTTTGACATGACTGCACTGCATGTCTTGGACGCGAAGAAGCTTCGATGCTTCTTCCCTGTGACCCGCCGATCGGAAGCCAAACACCTGCCGGGCGCGAAGGGGAAGGCGTCAAAGCCTTTTCGGAAGCGATTTCAGTGGTGTATATACCCTAGAAGTCCCATAACCAGGAGTCACAAGACGGGGTGCCTATTGGAGGGAGTCGGGGTGCCCATTCATTATCCACTCACTTAGGGACCAAACACCACCCCGTCTTGTGACCCCTGGAAGACTATCTGAGACCATTTTTTTGACCGACTGTTATAAAGGAATGTCCTAGACTCGGGTCACCTAAAGACAATTCTCTTTACCAGCTTCTTCAAAGTGACCTTTTGAAGGTTCCTAAGTGACCCTTAGGAGGCTTAAGTGACTTCAAACCAGGTTATCAAAAGGTCACTTTGAAGAACCAGGTATTATATAGTCTTGGGCTTCCAGGGTATAGGAAGTTGTATGAAATTGTGGGAGCCTCCATGTCCAATATGTTCCGTTGGTACATGTAGCATTCTGTGTCTGACAGTGTTTGTATGTTTGTTTGATTGTTTGCTTGTTTGCATTCTGCTCGAGTACCGCACTGAGAACCTATACACACAGCAAATACATGCAAACTATCTCTCATTGCAAAGACATGTTCGGGAAATCACTTCTTCAGCATACTTGCTGGGCCATGTAGTTCTTTCCCTTAGTCCACCAACCCCAAATACCGTGAGTGGCGTCAGTGATTCATCGATCCGTCAAAAAGACACACGTCGGGCGTACCGGGCGTACCGTTCGTCGTTTACAGCAATCGTAGCATTCTTTTGCCCCCATCAATTCATGACCTCCCGTATACTATCCCTGTAGCCTACAAGTCCAAAGATCCAGTAGAGTCTGGTCGACTTGACCTCCTTAAGTAGTGTAATCATCTGATCAACTCCAGTAAAATGAGGTCATTGACATGTAGGGTATGGAGGTCTTCTGTGGGGGGGGGGGCGAGCTGTCTTCGTAGCCTCCAGCTCAACTTCGCTCGCATGTCTCACGGCTGTCTTAACCGCCCAGGTTCACACAGCTGAGCTTGAGCTTTGAGATCGCCCAGGCGAAGGATAAGTTGCCTGGGAAGACAATCTACGCACATGTTTCAGTCAAAAAAACACGTGTTCAAAGTTCAAAGAGGAAACCTAGGAGAAATTGGTGATCCACAGTCGAGTCTGTGTCTTGAAAGGACACTTGAATGAGATTTGAGGCACAGTCAAAATTCATGACGTGTGATCGTTGCATCTGTAAGTTTGCGAGTCCAGTATGGTTTCCCAAAATTTTGGACATCGAACCATTCACCAACATGCACATGTGAGTCCCCCTATCCAATCCTTTCCCAATGAACAGAACATTCACACAGCACCCCCCCCTCGTTCCCCTCCGTCCCTCTCTCCCTGGAGACTCCATCGAATCCCCTGGAGGCTCCCTCCCGGGCGGTTCGTCTACCACTCGTCATGCCAAGGTGCCCTCACCCAAGAGCAGCACCCGTGTGCCCTCGCGCTCTAGGCCGAAGACGGCCCGGAGCCGCCCAGGACTGAGGCGAAGACGGCACACCGCAGCTAGTGGTCGGCACCGTCGAAGCACGGGGTTTTGGGGGGCAGGTGCGGCTTTTGAGGTGGGGGAACTGATTCCGATGGACCAGGCAAATTGACACATCTAGTCCGTGAATTGAAAAGCAGCTGTTGTCGTTCCAAGCAACTGCAAGTGATAGATGTTCTGATATGTTGTGATGATTTGGTCCGAAAAAAAAGAGCGTTCAGTCAAGATCCTTAAACATGTGCTGTATTTCCCCAAGGTAGGACGTCTCTCTAACATCAGCAGCACAATGCTGGTGGATGTCAACAGGGACCTTGCCCTCCAAGCTACAGTTCAAGTGGAAAGTCTTCCAGTATCTCCAGTTCAGTGAAAAAACCGCCAACTGGCTACAGGCGGTTGATGTTCGGAGCATGCGCGGATGTGGCAAAATGGGAAATCATGGGAACCCCACAGGTAAACCTCTCAACAAACCACAGAAACTGGTAAACCCAAGCCGTATTGAAGTCGAAAGACATCCAAAGACTTACTTTTATCTACTTTTCCTGAATGAATCTGAGATATCTGAGTGAAGTAAGGGCATTCCCTAAATTAGCTCCCAAAAGACAAGTCTTTGTAATACTCTTGGACTCCCAGGACAAGTGGTATCTCCAAGCACTTCCTGCCCAACGTTGATCCTCCTCGTGCCCCTCACCGCCCCGGGGGAACCTTCGTAGCTCACTTGCCACGGAGTAGTAATGGCCTCCAAGCGCCCCCTAGCGATGCCCTCCATGCTCCCTCCGGCTTCTTAGCTGAACGTCTCCGGCCTCACGCCGCCCGGCTCGTCCGCTTTCCGCTTCATCCTCCCCGGCCGCGGAGAGACCGTTGGGTCCTTCGGGCCCGGGCCCAGCAGCTTTCGTTCTGAACTGGGAGGAACAGAAGAGACCTGTTTGCTATCATAGACCTGGGATGACCTGGGTTCTTCGGTCTCTGACAGGTTCTGAAGCCTGCATTCAATCGCCAAAGGACCCGAAAGATGGCTCAAACCTAAAAGATGGCTCCCTCTCCTCAGTGGCTGGACGTGGATATAAGGAGACGGACACCCCGCCTTCCTTCTCCTTCCTTCCTTCCTTCAATTGGAACGGCACCCCGGCATGGTTGGTTTGCCTTTTTGATATTCTTTTTGAAAGGCCTCTTTGGGGGGTATGGTTCAGAGTGGGCGGGCAACGGGTAGTGGGCTTGCTTCAAGGCCACGTGTGGCCTTGAAGGTGAGTGGACTGGTGCAGCTAATCCAAGCCGAAACAGTTGAACAGCAGTGCTTTTCGTCAGTGCATTCAATCGAACGGCCTGGTCTTAAGCCTTAAGCATGCCTGTCTCCCACTCGTATTTCACCCGGAATGGTGTCGGGGAGTCTCAAATCTGAAAGAAGAAAACGCTGATAGAACAAAATATCAATAACTTATAACTGAAACTAGAGATGCTCTCTCTTCAAGAAATGGTTCATGTATGTTATATATAAGTTAACATACATGCATGAATCGTTTCTCCAAAGAGAGAACATCTCTTGTTCCAGCCCCCCCTGTCACTTCCTTCGACCAAACACCCCTCCAAAATCCCAGCGGCCCAACCCAATCCCGGCGACCGAACCTGAACACCTCGATCCCGAAAAAAAACACCTCGGACCCGGTCGCTTCAGGGGACCTCCTCGTCGCCACATCGCCCGCGGGACCCGTCGCTTCGAGGGACGAGCGTCTCGGACGAGCGTCTCGCGGGTTGAGGAGTGTGGGTGGCGATGTGTTGAAGTTGGCTTTTGATGTTGTGATGCCTATGTGCCCCAAATCCTATCTACAATCGGATCCATGTGCCAATAGGTCTCAACATGGGGATGAAATTGGGCTTGTCATGCCTACGTCCCAAATGCCGATCGTGGGAGGGGACTCAAGTATTATACCGTTATACCGTTATACCTTTGAAATTGCAGGATATGTCCCATTTGTGATGGGATCCACATTAGAAAATTTAGTCTCCACATTAGGACTTAGGATCCACCTCCCCTCTCCAGTTGTGTGGTTACCATCTCCCATACCAGTACCAGCGGTGCTTTAGCAGCTTCAGTGGATGGCTGCTAAAGTGGCCCATGTCACCCTCAGCTGGTAGCCTCACCTCTGCGGTCCCCTTTGAGGCTTTTCCTCTTAAGTGATATGCTTTGCCGTGTTCTGAAAACGCCGGGTGGTGGATCCACTTCAGTTGGTCCATGAGCTACGGCTAGTTGCTGTCGCTTTGAGGTGGCAAGCCACGGAGCGGCGCAGTTGGTCTGTTCGCTGCAAAGAGATGCAAAGAGTCTCTGAAAGAAATCTGAGCCAAAGGCCTTCTTGGTCCGTGCATCGAACACGCGGAACACGAGGGAGTGATTGGTCCGTGAGACCCCGTGAGACCCCCGTGAGACCCTGTGAGACGGGGGAGTGCGTTGACAAAAATGCAGCGGTTCCGGGCGAAATGGGTGATCATGAGTGATCAGTAGCAAGCAATCAGCCTCAAACCAAACACCTATTAGATAAGTCTCTCTTCTCATCTGAGCTCTGGATGCGAAAATATCCTGACATGTCCCCACGCCATCGATGAGATGAGGAACTCGTTTGATAGTGGGAATGGTGCGGCCATGAAATATGTAGCCAAATGAAGCCAACTCCGTCGAACTCCGTGACCAGGCACTGACGTGACCAGCCACCTGCAACGTACCCGTAACACACCCATCATTTAATGTCATAAGGGTTGTGATCTATGGATGGTATAAAATAGACCCCAAGGGCCCTGCACGCGCGTCCCGGTGACACAGAGGACCCCAATGCGCGACCACGGGGCCGGCCCGGACTGGCACAGCTTTTCTTTTGTGGAGGACCATGCACAGGTGCTGTGGCCTGAAAAACAGCGACCCAATGCCACACACTCCAGCATGAACACACCTGCACCCACATAGTATATGTATTTGTGTAATTAAATTCATAATTAAGCTGATATTCAATTGCTGTCTCCTAAAATCTGCCAATCATCTGCATCTCATCTGCGTCCCAACGCTCCCACGAACGCCACCGGTCCGGAGGGGATCGGGCGCACCTGAGTGGAGTCCTCGGCGGGTCCGGGGAACCCGCAACAACAACCCGCCCGCTGAACGGTTCGGGGAACCGGCAGTTGGGTTGGGCGATGTTGGCCGGTCTTCTCCACAAACCAGGTGTCGTGTCCGGGTAAGAAGTTCAGGGTCTAGCCCCGAACGCTCACGTTCTGGTCTTAGACGTCTGTTGGCCACTCTTTCGTGTGGGGACCCTCTTTCGCCATGTCTCCTCCAAACCCGCTCGGCTCGCTCGGGTCGCTCGCTGGTCGGTCGCCGATCGATCGGCTCACCGATTCGAAACGCCACCGAGCCGAAGCAGCCGGAAGCTGTGCCGGGCCTGGGACCCTGACCGATGTGCTTGGAAATTGTAATGATGGACCTGTCGTGTTGAAGCACCTGTCGTGTTTGGCCTGTCTTTGGTTCGTATAGTAACTAGATCTGTCAAGCTGCCGATGACATCGACTCGTTTGAAACACACGTCGGGAGGGCTGCTTTTGGGGCTACCCAGGGCTGTTTTGGGCGACTGAGACTTGATCCCAATCTAGGTATAGACATAAGGCCATCTGAAATGGTCCTTGGGAGCCATGATCTCAAACATGAGACAAGCAAAACTACTGGAGGAGAAGGAGGAGGACGGCCAGATGAATCCCTGGTTGAAAAACAAACATCACTGGAAACGCACCAGGGGATTCCCAAACCGGCCTGTAGTTCAATGCTTGAACTCATCCAACCAAGCAGCCTGTAGTGCCCGGGCGCTTTCTCACGCTTCTTCATGTGAAAACATCACCTACCAGCACCTTCCAACAGGTCACCACCTGCCACTCTTAAGTCTCCAAAAGCTACCAGAGGAGACCTGTTGGAAGGTGCTGGTAGTGTGACCTACCAAGAATAGCTCTTCCAACATGCGACCATGGATCGTCTCGCCACTCCATGGGACTGGAATAGTTACCTGCATTGGGGTGGTTGAAGAGGGGTCAATGTATGTGAATACTTAGACACTCCATGCCTATCATATATGCCGCCCCGTTGACCTCTGGCACCACCCCAATGTAGGTGAATATGCCAGTCCCATGGAGTGTCTGGGATATGTCAGTCCCATGGATGTCGTGTCAAGGGAATACACACCCCGATCTTCGCACACCTCCCAGACCGAGGCACACTTCCTTCTCCCGGCGCTGCCAGAGTGGCGAGCGCATGGCCAGCAAGAGCGGCCTACGTGCGAAGCAAGGGGCTGAGACGCAGTTGCACCAGTGGATGTTCCCGGGGGGGTGGGTATAAGGTTTCACGGTGCGTCATGTTGAGATACGTCATGTTGAATGGTGTTTTCTTCAAGTGGTTAGAGCTTGCAAAAAGTGTTCTACCTAGCGCTTCCAGTCTGGGTGTCCAGTCTGGTGACCTTTTTCAGCAGTGTAGGGGCCCGTCCATTGGTAACCCCGAGCGGAAGCAGCTGGTAGGTGTTGCTTTCATGGAATTTTCAGGGATGGGCTCAGGCTCGAGCGCGGTGGACTTCGGCTTGCTCGTGGACTGGCGTCCACCTGTGAGGATCTCAACGGACCCTCCTGCACGAAGGGGGTCGAAGCCTCTAGTTCACAAGGGTTTGGGGCCCCTCAAAACCCTCCAGCTCCTTCAAAGGGGTCACCTGGCTGGCCCCAGCCCACGACCTACATGGACCTCCAGCCAGGACACCCCGAAAGAAGGTCCAGGCTTGTTTACCCGACTGAAGTCCAAAGACTATAGGTTGACCGGCTGAAGTAAAGGAAGTTCCCTTTCAGGTCCCCTAGTCAGACCATTCTTTTTTATTGTCTTTGACTGTCAGGGTTTATCTTGTCTTGTTTTCGGGCGCGGATCCTTGGTTTTTTGTTCCTTTTCATTCCCTCCAGTCGTTCCGAACAACGGTCCGAACCGCTCGCGCCAGGTCCAGCTTGCGGTTCGGTCGCTCCGGAGCGCATCTCGCAACCGACTCCTGTCCCGCCTGTGACCGCGAGAGGGACTCGACGACCTGCGCCTGCGACTCGGAGTCCACGCGAGTGGGACGAAGGAGGGGACTGGCAGAAGAAGCATCATGCTTCAAATGACGTGGCGGTCGTTGAATCGTTGGTTGGTCTTTCACAGTGCCAGGTCCTTCTCCAGGTCTTTGCTTCGAGCCCTCTGATTCTAGATCCCATATAACTATATTCCAGCTGCTTCCGTTCGGGGTTACCAATGGACAACCCTACACTGCTTGTAAGTCACCATTGGACACCCCCCATTGGAAGCGCTAGGCGCTAGGTATATAATATACGATATTATACAACCATCCTTCTCAAGTAGTAATATATGGAACACAACGTCCAAGAATCTGAGACCTTCTAAGACTCAAAGATTGAACACAAACTGCGTAGTTACATTTCAAGTATACATTGTTCTCTTGAATGTAACTCAAAGTTTGTCGTGAATTTCGATTGTCCAAACATTGGACGGTTGTTACAATTTCTGATGGCTTCCAACCCTACTGAGCACTTGTCATCCGTCCACTTCGTAACAGCAAAATGATGTCCAACTGCCAGCTTCTTCAGTTCGTGACCTTTTGAAGGTTCCTAAGACTTCCTAAGAAGTCGGCTTGAGTGAAAGGCATCAGGTTCCGGGAGTCAGGTTCCGGTTTCAAGCACTCACCCCGGCTCACCCCGACTCACCACGGTCAAAGGCATCTTTGGCATCTTTGCGCCACCCGATCGATGCGCCCTTTCTGCCGCGCTTTTCGCAGCTCAAGGGAGAGGTGGCTGCGGTGTTGGAGGGAGAGGTGGCTGCGGTGTGGCGGCTGCTGTGGCTCAGAAGGCTGAGAAATGACATTCAAAAAAGGAGGCATCGGTCTGCCTCTTGGGTTTGCATCCTTGGAATACGTCGAAGATAGATGAAAGTCCCTCTGACTGTCGCCTCTGGTGGGCGTTGGGCCGATGCGTTTGCCCGTCGGGCCGACATGCCGACAGCAAAGGGATATTGTCTTGGTTATAGCCTTTGTATAAGCTGTGAAGAGACCAATCTTTCGACAGAATACGAAGCTCCATCAAGGTGTACCGAGCAACATGGGGATTAGCCCACATTTCGTGGCCCTCAGCTATACGTAAGGCCAAATGGCTGCCAAAGAACTTAACCCTTAAACCATGCATGCATTAAATCAACCAGGAGCCCCACAAAAGCCTCTAAGCTTTAAACCTTGGTGGAGAGTGAAAAGCTCGCAGTGCGTCATGCAGCTGGCCATAGCTGTTCTCCAAAAGCTCAGCTAGTGGCCAATCTTTTGGAATAGAAGGACCCAATGGGTGTTTGCAGAAACAAACCAAAAATGGGTGTTTGCACCCAATGGGTGTTTGCTGTGGCCATAGCTAATCTTCTTTAAGAAACCAAAAGAAAATCCATTGCCTCAGGTTCCAAGAAATTGGAAGTGAGAGACTCACATCCCACATCCAACCTCTCACGTCACTGTCACGGTCACCGTCACCTGTGGAACCAACTCCAGTGGAACCGCCTCAGATCATTCCCATCCTCCAGCGACGTCTCCACCCTCAACGCGTTTGCCGCAGTGACCGCGTGGCCCGCTCAGTCGTCGGAGCTGTCGGGCGGCTGCAGCAGCCGCATTTGCTTCTCGCGGACCTCGACGAGTACCCGACCGGAGGAATGAACACCATGGTGTTCACAGGCTCCACTGTTTTGGTTACAATGTTGGACTTGTAAATAGAGGTTGTCCGCATTGTGTGCAGAGTGATGAATATATATGCTCCTAGAAAGGAAAGTGAACAACCGAACAACCTAAGCGAACGCGAGCAATCCTTGAACCTTTCTATAGTAAAAATTGAAACGCTTCTGGAGACGCTTCTGGGAAGCAGCCGACCCTAACCGACCCTCTCTTGAGCATTCTTGAACTATGGAACTATAGGAGAAGTTGGGGCTGAGGCTTGTTTCCTAGATAACAGCAAAGCCGGATATTTGCAGTCAGATCTTCAAGCGAAAACCGTCCGATCCCCCCCAGCTGTTTGTGTTTTGCCCAACAAGCCAATCTCCTTGACTTCTTGTCAACAATGGTGGTCAGAAGAAAGACAATGGTGGTCAACAATGGGTCTTATCAACAATGGTCATCAATGGTGGTCATCTCCTTGACTTCTATCAACATATTCCTGACTGATGTGGTCAGAACATGTTCTTGCAGCTCTGGTGGAGATCCACACCCGCCTAGTTTGTGCTGTGAAAGCTGTTCTCAGAGGTGCATTGAAGACCAACGGCTGTGTTTCCAAGAAAGAAGGGTATGTGGACTCTTGGTGAATAAAAGCCACCCATAGGAAGAGGTTTTACATCCTTACATCCAAATGGGAGGGTTTTTATGCATCAATTTGCATAATTAGGTAGGTCTGGTCAGCCTTCGTTTTCCGACCAACGAACACTCGCCCTCCAAAGGGCATCCCAAACCACGCAAAATCTTTCCCAAACACTTCATGGAACTGGATTATAGACCGACATGCACCAATAGACCACCTCAATGATTGAATTTGCTGATATTAGACCAAAATTATACACGTTTTCACCGAGAACCCCGTGTTTTTGGGCCCAAGACTGCAGTCCTTTTTCAAGACCCTATCTAGCCTATCTAGGTTTTGGATGGTGAAGGGGGTATGTCTTACATTGGATGGGCTGGAACCCCAAAACATCGCCACCTCATCAACCACAGCACCTCATCAATCTCCTCGCCCTCACACCACCCAGTGCTTGACCCGACATTCACAGGTGTTGACCTGGTTTGGGGACGAAAAAAAGCACACGACTGTAACACCCTATATCTCCCTCCAGTCGTACCGTATCGTTTCGTTTCGGTGGGACGGTCAGGGTGGGTTTATGTTTGGAGGGTCCAGTCAGACCGAACCAGAGGAGGTACGACTGGAACCGGACGCCTCGACTCCCGATGGCGATGGCGATGAGATGAGACGCACGGGGCTTTGGAGGAACGAATTGGAAAGGCTCAGGAGTCACACTGGCTCACTAACCCGGCTCCTGGCCCACTTCCTGAGGTTCGGTGGGACTGGGGTGGGTGGATTTGGGGGGAGTCTAAGCACCGAACCTGAGGAGATGGTTGGAGCCCTAGGGTATAACATGGAAGTATGTCATAGGCCCCTTATAGAAGACCATGTTGCTCTACGAACCAAGGTCCATGTTAGTGAGGGAGTGTAGAATCTGGGCTTGTCTCGAAATAGGAACACCCACAACCACTGGGCTTTTCAGTTCTAAAGCCATTTCTACCAGGACCTTCCAGCAGGTGGTTTTTGCTCACTAAGAGGCGCCATGGACGTCCTAGACACCTCTGGGTGTTCGGTCCTAGCTCTTCATTCGTCCTTGGGGAGGGGTCGGATCTACGAATCGATGTCCATCTCGGAGACGTCGCGCCTCCGCTTCTCGGATCTCCTTCACGTCTTCCTTCACGTCGTTCCTGGGACGGGTGCGAAGCACGAAGCACGTGCCGCACGCAGCCACAAGCACGAGCGGCGCAGGTGATCACCGATCGTAACACATCCGATGTCAAACTAAGATCTGCAGCATTTGTATCACTAGTCCTATCCCCTAGGCCTCCAGTCGTACCTTCTCAGAAGGTGGGACTGGGGTGGGTGCCAGGAGGGTCTAAGTACCTTGTGAGGAGGTACTTGGAGGTGTAGGGATCTTGCGTCAGACATATAACGTGCACCATCCGGGACCCTCTGACAGCTTGTCAATCGGGAACCACACCTCTCACTGCTTCCACTGCCCCCGACCCAAATCGCCAACCTGCGATCCCACCCCGAATCCGCCCGGCCGAAGACCAGACCGGGCCAGGGCGCATGTCTCGGTTGATGCGCTCGAACTCCCGCTTCAACTTCTTCATCAGATCTCGGATCGGAGAAAACGCTGGAAAACAATTGGTTGAGCGAACGAGCGAGGTCCGCATGAGCGAGATTGCAGATAAGATGTGAATCCGTGTTTCGCAGAGACAGAGAGAACAAGAGCGTGAACAGTTTGAGGGGAAAGGGTTGTACACAGCAGGATTAAGGAAGAAATTGTGTACTGCATCAAATGAGATATGATCAAATACACCCCTCACCAAAGCTGACATAGATACAGTTCCTGGGGGGATGTCATCCGGACGTGCTAAACAATATGCCAGCCTTTGCCATGTGATGACAGTAAAATGGATTAATTATAATAAGATACCCTGGGAGTCAAAGACTATAAAAAGAAAGGTCTTGAGGTGACACGAGTCGGATCGGAATGTCCGTATTGCTTCAGCCAGTCATAATATAATCGAACTGGACTTCTAAATGTCATATGTGCATGTACAGTAGTATATCTGCATGTATACTGTATCTAATGTACATGTGAATGTGCATAATCAAAACCCCAGCCTTGGGCGAATGTTGGGGACCCAAGTCCACCGTCTCTTCACTTCTTCCCGAGAGGGTAGGGACCCAAAGAACTGCGGGCTTTCCGGACCGGTGGCGTGACCGGTGGCCCGGTGAACCAAATGCCAGGGCCGTATTGGAGGTACAGTGGGGTGACGTCCTGGGCTTAGCTATGCTTACTTCAGATGTCCTTCACTGCCATCGCACGGAACATGGAATGACCTCCGAGCAGGTCCGAACCGCCAGGCACTGCGCCGCACTGCGACGGACTCCTGCTTCCAGGCCAGGCACTCTCATGCCGTTCGTGCAAGATCTCAGTGGAATGGTGTCGCACCGAAGGATTGGACGCGCAGCGCGGACTCGTGTCGCGGGGCTGTCGCTGGTGTGTCCGGAGAGGGGAGGCTGCGAATGGTGTGACAGGAATGCGTTTCAGTGTCAGAAAAGGTTGACTTTTGATTACCAGGACCCTTCAAGGCGTGACTATTTATAGCCCCTTAGCTGTTAAGGAGTGTCCATTAACCACCCCGACAGGAGGGTGCTGGTACTGTTTGGAATATGTTTTGGAATTGGTTCTGCTCCTGGGAGCCCTACAAACTCCATCTCCCAGTACGTGAAACACGCCCTACTTCCGCTCCGTCAACACTTAGGGATTGTGTCCGTCAACCCCAGATGGGTCCAGGGTGACCAGAAGCCTGGCAACCTGGCTAGCCTGACTCGCGACTCCCACGGACCCCCTCCCAAACATCTCTTGGCCCCAAAAGAAGGAGGCTGTAAGTAGCAGAGCACGAGCTTGCGCTCTGTAGCTCTCGAGCAATGGTTTAAACATGTGTTTAAACCAGACTCTGCACAAACACTGTTTAAAGAGTTTGCAGTTTAAACGGCTTGAAGTTTAAACGTGTTTGACACAACACTGGCCTCTGGGCCTCTGGTATGCATGGATGTTTTGAGATTGCGGCAATCTGCCCCCCCCCGCAGATTGCCAGGCAATCTGACCCGCTCGGCTGAGCTCATCGCGATCTTGAACATCTTCAGTTGTTCCACCACATCCTTGCCGGAATCCGCAAGTCTCCGGACCCCTCCAAGCCGTGAGGCAAAGATCTCTAGAGACTGGGAGCTAGTCACTTCGAGCCCGGAGTGACAGTCACTTCTCTATCTGCGGGAGCTCCAGCTAGTTCGTTCGAAGAACTTGTTGATACACTGCATGAAATTAAAAGTCGTTTCGTGGAGTGAGGGAAAACCACCTCAAACAGGTCTGAGCCCATGGAAATGGTCATAGGATGATTCAATCTCCAAGACTTGGCAAATATGGCAGTCCCAGACAGGTCGTATCTATAGGTGAGATCTCGAACAGGTCGCCCATTTTGGTCCAGGTATGAAGAACCTTGAACAAACAATGATTTGATTTGGTTTCCTGTCGTGTTTTTTTGTTATGCAATATGTAATAGAATGTAATAAACAATAAATGAAGAACCAACAATTAATTGATACTCTACCTGTATGATGCACTATGACCTGTATCACGTCCTATGTGTGTCGACCAACATCATGACATCCGCCTCCCTCCGACCTGCGGCGTCCGCCGAAACCTCGCCGTCTCCCCGACCGGAGACCCCCCGCCTTTACACGAGCTGGATTCGAGCCACGCAGACCTGAGGCGTGAACACGCCTTCGCGTCCGTCGCGTCCGTCGCGTCCGTCGCGCCGAGACCGAAGCACGTCGATCCGGATCGAGAAGAATCGACTTTGAGAAACTGATTGGTGGTGTCAACGAAACCAAAGGAACATGTCTTGAGGCAGTGGCAGTGGGGGAAGAATATTGAAAGCACCACCCAGTGGAGCGTTGTGTTGCTGGTCACATGTCTCATCAGCTCATGAAAGAAAGCAGCTGCTGATGCATGCTGCATGGCATGGCTTGCCCAACACGTCCATTGGAATCTCTTCATGGGGAGAAACGTGTGTGCGTGTGCTTGCGTGTGCTTGCGTGTGTGCTTGCATATGTGTGTGTGTGTGTACTCCTCCCGTCCCATGGATGGTCTGTTCTTTTTCCAGGCATCGCTCGAGCGAAAGAAGTTGCGGCCACACAGCTCGCAGCAGCTCACGGACGAAGGACGTTGGCCTTCTCCGGGGCTTCTCCATTGAACGAACCAAGACATGGCTGCCCCAACATGCGCCACAGTCTTGATTCTTGTGCATGGCGTGACCTGGCTAAACGCCAAGGGTCAGCACATTGTCGTCAGCACCCGTCAGCACGGTGCACCTAATTAACAATGCGTCGCTTGAAGATCCATTGGAGCAAACGGGTGAGTCCACTGCAAGCTGTCCGTTGAAGCCTCTCTGTTCGATGGATCTCCTAAATCCTTGAGACAGTCTTCTTCCTCTTGGCCTTCCTCGATGAGCGAGAGAGTTTTCGTCTTCGAGGTGGTCCATCGCTCCTGCTCACTAGGTATCACCGGATCCAGCCTCTGCGTGGCCCGAACTCGTTGCCGCATCTGATGTAGCCTGGAGCCCGAATGCGGGGTCCTTCTTGGCTTTGAAGGGCTCCCTGTTCCACTACTCTTGGTACTGGCACCGCTTCCCATGGTGAGATTGCTCGGCGATCTTCACAGGGAGACTAAGCCAAAAACTCCTTTACAAGCGGCGAGCACATGTGTGAAAGCTCGAGCTCTATGAGCTCGAGCTTGGATTTTCAGTCCGTTTCAGGTCAGTATAGGCCATGGCACCCTATTGTCGAGGTTCATTTTGCAATTGCATTTCGAATTCATTTTGTCGGGTCTCTTGTAGACAACATTTGGTAGAGTCCTTTGTCGACAGCAGATGTCTTTTTGTAGGATGTTTCTCTACAAAGCCCACTTGATTTGGGAAAAGCAGTGTAGATCCTAGAACAGACGCGCGCCACTTTCTACAGAATGACGTCGATGCCCGCATTTTGTAGACGTTTTCGTATCCGGATTTAGTAGACTCTTTTTTTCAGAGGTGCCATTTTGTAGAGCCAGGCCTACTGCGATGGTTGCTCAGACTCCTCGCCGGAGCTTGGATGCTTTGCTGGCTACAGCTGTTTCGAAGTCTGCTGACAGCCTGAGCCAGTGTGGGTGGCTGAACCTCCAGAATACGTCATCGGACGCTTGCGTGGGACGTCAGAACCTGCCAGGTCTGGAAGGCCCAACCTTTGGCTACCTGGGCAGCGAGAGATGAACGTGTGCACTTCCACAAATGGTGTGCATTTTCTCTACCAGGACCTCTATCATACTGTAATTCGCACCCCGAAACGGCGGCCAAAACGCCGGCCGAAACGCGCGTCGTCACGGCGCAAAAGCGCGTCGAGGAGCTTAAGATGCTCTCGATGAGCATGGAGAACGGCATCCCCGTCCAACCTGGCGACGTGTTCGAAAAACGAACATGGCGGACGTGTTCGGTGCTCGCCATGTAAGGCAGCAGGAGGAGTTGGATGAGCAGAAGACCTCCGAAGACCAAACAGCTGGTGAACTCCACGTATATACTCCACGACACTCGCGTGGATGGTATACTACTAAGGGACCTCCATTGGACACCCCTTGAAGGTCCAGGATGTTGGCAGGACTTCTTGCTGCTCACACCAGCTTCGACCGATCCCAGGAAACCGCTGCCGCTGCTGTTGAAAGCCACGAAGGCCAGAACAGAACATTTCAGGGACACCAGGCAGTCACAAACGGCTGCTTAATGGAGGGAGTCGGGGTGTCCATGATCCACTCATTTAGGGACTAAACACCACCCCGTCTTGTGACTCCTGGTAGAAATCATGCATGGAAGTGTTGGAAAATCCTCCTGTTTCGCTGTTGGTTCTTTCGAATTCATGCTCCGACACCAAAAAAGAAAGCTGTTGGGAGCCGACCATCGGACGGCGAGCCGACCAGTCGGTCGCGGACCCTCTCGCTCGACTTCCTCAAAGATCAGGTCCAGCATTTCCTCATCGGGAGCGGAGCAGCTGCGCAGGGAGCGGGAGCAGCAAGCTGCGCTACGCACTGATGAGGCGCCCTGTTTTTTTTTCAGCCATGAAAGTGGGACCAAAACACGTGGGACGTCACTTGAAGTCGCAAAAAAAAACATGTAAGCAGTCTTGATTATGTGCACTGGAACTTGCAGAGTGGCTAGAGGCTGAGACTCTCAAAATAAAGAGACCCCAAAGTATGGCGCTTCAATACAAAGCTTCCCTTGCAAGCAGGCTGCTTAGTTATGTAGTATAAACCGAATTCTACACCGTTTGATACACCGCGCAGTCCAAGCCAAGCATCGCAAAGAGTCATCACGTCCACCCCCACCGCGTGAATCTCGGCCGAGTAGTTGCGCGCGCGCGAGGCAAAATGAGGAAAACACCAAGAAATCTCCGCCGATGTCCTCCGCCGTTTTGGGGACGATCAGCTGATAGCGAAGGCCTCCAACCTACTAGGAATTAATGGCCTCCAACCTAGGAGTCTGGGAGCCTCAGTGGAGCCGAAGTCGGCTCCGGTCTTTGCCAACGGCTGGAGCTCGGTGGCGCCAGGTGGGGAGCTCCTAACCCTTGGCGGCTGGGACCCAACCCTCTTCCATAGGAAATACATAGTCTTTGGACTTCTGGGGCATGTTTGGTTTGGGAATCGGGTCCCGGACCCCTGTGAGGGGGGGGAGAAGTTCCGACCCTTCTATTCGTGCAAGGGCCCGTTTGCAATTCGTAGGGCCAAGAGATGGTTGACGGACCTGAACTGCGACCCGGTCATAGTGGTATGGGATAGTCCGAACATATCTGGCGCTGTGAAAACCTCGCAAAGTGTCTGTTGTTAACTGAAGGTAGAAGGGGAACCCCTCAAAGGAGGGGTCCGACGACTGGCTAGTCTGACCCCCGAGCTCGGGAACCTCCGGCTCGCGGCTCGCGGCTCGAGCTCGAGCTCGCCGGGTGCCGATGGTGGCGCCGAACACACCCGGCCCTATGACGATGGGTCAGATGGAATACTCTCCCAGTCGAAGGTCTGGTGTGGAAGGGTGGTAACAACCTAGAACCTGATTGACCCCTGTTTGGCCGGAAGCTCTGAGGAAGCTCTGAGGTTCCGGACGATCCGGGCAATGGGCGGCTCGACCTCATCCGGTCGTTGGGTGGGCCCGTAAAAGGCGAAGTCTGAGTCCGAGACTCATCTGTCTTGTCTGATTCATGCTGCGCAACTGCCAACGACTCAAAGGCCATCCAAAAAGCAACACAGACATGAGACTTCCAAAGCTGACTCGGGGCAAAGGATGCTTTCATCCTACGACAGGTGCTGTTTCTCGACCCTTGTTAATTGAGTGAGTCCAGACCCCCCCTAAAGCATAAGGTCCAGACATGTCCAGACCCTAACATAACATCTCAAACCCATGTCTACACCTTAGGCTTCCAACCACCACTATTGGAATGGTTTTTGCCAAAGCACCATTGTTATACTAAGGATGTTATACTACAACACCAGGTCAACAATGTTTTAAATGTCTTGAACTTCCAGGGTATCGTCTAATGTTGCCTAATGGGAACAATCATTCTCCCTGGTCTTTTCTTTGGATCGAGCACCCAACACCCAGGCTCCACAACACCTTCGTCCTGTCCCCACCCCTCCGTCGCCCCGCCCCGGGCGCCCCTCACGATGAGCTGTTGGAACTCCGATTTGCTGATCCTCAGCGCGCGCCGTGGGACCGAACCAACGTTCCCAAATCCGATCTGCCGAACCTCCGATCCTATCCAGGACCCGACCAGGACCCGACGGAAGGTCCAAGGGGTGTCTATTTATAGCACCACCCCGACTGGGGGGTGCTGGTAGGAATCCACATACCGAACCTCAGGAGCTACGACTGGGCCCTCCAATGGCGCCTACATCAATCCCTGCTCACCGTACCTGAGGTTCGGTACGACTGGATCCCTATAGGGTATAGCGGATGGGCCGATCCGTACCGCTGGATGTCTTTCTTCGGTGCACCGATCTTCGGTGGCCCCAGACGAATCGCGCAGAGGATTGATCACCCTGAAAACCCATTCGTCGTTCCATATTTTACTTTATAATATAATTGGTCTGAATTCCGAAGAACCCTTGTTTTACTGTTTTACTATACGGATTCTTTGACTATCGAAACCAAG